CGCGTGTTATCTGTGACCGTCATCATTATTTCAATGATAGCGCATATGTACCGAAGGAAATAGATTACAGTATTGCGATCGCCTCACCAACCCATTACCTACCTACTTTAATATGCAATTTACAATATCGGACATCGAGAAGCCTGCTAGTACGAGGGGTGTTCAAAAAGTAATGAGAATGTGATATTTCTAGCCATCACAAAAATCTGAAAAATTGGGTAGGTAGTTTAATTCTTCACTAGAGACTGGTAAAAAATATCACTTAGGTTCACCATTCCGTTTAAGAATTACATTCACCTGAACATGACCAGACGGAACGTCCTTGTTTTCTGTGGATGACTTTTTTTACCAGTTTGTAGTGAAGAATTAAGCTACCTTCCCAATTTTTCCAGATTTTTGTGATGACTAGAAATAGACCATTGTCATTACTTTTTGAACAACCCTAGTATATTGCGGTTTAAAGTTCGTTTTCAGACAAACGATGTAAACACTGTAGAGGTACCGAGTGGCAAGCGCCATTGTCAGATGATTCGCATAACGATGTCACCGTAGAATACGTACGAGCTGAAATTGTGAGTTTATTATTTCACTTCGTGAAAATATTTGGTAAGATTTCTTGTTATTTACCTATATTTATTTGTTTATGCTTACTTGGTCTGACTTACTCATAATCCCTCAGGGTTTAGATATGTAGTTTCTGATTTAGGTTAACAGTGATAAAAATGATTTTCAGGGGATTAATAAATAAAGTAACCAGCTTAAAATACGATCAAGTTGTTTGTCCATGAAATGATTTTAGTAGATAAACATGAAACCACTTCAGCAATAATAACAATTTTGGCAATATCAATTTCTATTGCTTATCAATAACTCGAGAATTAAAGTTCAAATTGTGTAGAATACCAATTAGTAAAATCGAATAGTGGAAAATTATGTTAATTCCGGAAAATTGCGAGTAATTAGTTCAACATTTGTTTTGTTTACTCAGCCGATTTGTAAACATTGTTCACGCACTTTATCGGGAGCATCGGCGGCCTTGAGTCCAGCCAACGAAGTTATCGCGCACTAATAGGTCCGCCTAATGTATCCATCACGACGTGAATGCGCGCGAGCTCATGTGCCATTTTAATAGGCCATTCATTCAATTAACTAATATGTCTCCGGCGAATCATCTTTTCATTAGCGGACTGACAAATCTGATTGAACCTGAACTCGATGACCCCAATGTTTGCTTGAGATTACAGATTATTTTATTAGTCCCATTTCATGGCATGGACGTCTAAGGCCTTTACCACACTTGACGGGAATGCCGTCGCGGATTTTCTGCAAAGCAAGTTTGTTATTGCTTACAAATTAGATCACGACCGGTCATCCGCGTAGGGTCCCCGTTGTAGAAAATTATAAGCATTTAATAGCATGTAAGTATTGGTGGAAGATTCGCGACGGCCATTTCTGTCAAAGTGTGGCAAAGGCCTAAGGCTTAGCGCGCATGAAACGCCAGACGCCACTTAAGACAGACATCTTCAGTAAAGTGTTGATTCAAGCTTCTAATTAATCTAAATATAGATCAAAATAAGCTATCATTTTTAATTAGTTTTAGTAATAATCAAGTTTTCTTCGTTGCGGGCCTAACGTTTTAATGACACAACGATGTAGGTAAATACTCTGTTAATTACTGACATAATTATGTTACTTCAATTTTGTTTACATTTTCTAAGTAAATGTCGAAGGTCATTCATTAGTAGTGGCGGAGTTTTGGGCTGACACTGTGTAGGTTTGTTGTCGACACGAAAAAAAGAAGAAGTAAATTATCTGTTAAGTGCACGTTAAAAGTATTTCAACACAGACCTTCCAGACCTTCTTTGCGAAATTGCCCTGCAGTGTTGTAAAATTCCGAAACTTTGCGAGTAAATAACTGAACACCTATCTATGTAGTTCACTTAAATGATGAATGTATAATTGCCGACTAGATATAGCTCGGCTATGCATTATTATTTTTATGTACCACCACCTAAAATAACTCTAGATACCTACTTAAGTGTTACATATTAATAGGTATTGCATAGAACTAGGTGCATATTATTCAGTATAAAGTAAAATACTTATATTTTACCAACAATTCTAATAAGAACCTGTGCAATTGAATGCTATTTACTGAATCCGTTCAGAAATCGAGAATTATGTTACTCGTACATGCTCAAATAAATAGGTTTTTCTTCAAATTGAATTGCTTTTCTATTCAATCGCTAGCATTCTTGATCTACCCCAATAAAATATCGACATCTCTTTGCACACTTCGAGTGAAGAACATAGCTTTCTTTTAAGGACTGGGTCAAGTGCAAAAGTACGGAGAAAGCTTCATGTTATAATGTCGATTTTGTCATTTACGCCTGACATGGCGTACGCTCTTCAGTAATAGAGTACTGTTGTTGTTTTTAGGGACTTTTATTAAAAGCGTAAATACGAGTAAAAACTAAAATATTACGTTACTACATTTTACGAGTATAAAGTAACATAGGGACATTAGAAACACATAGAAAAAGTCTATTTCATCAGCGTAAATAAATAACTGCTGACAAGTGAAACTTTTAAAAGAAATAATTGTACTATGTAAATTAATTAATTTTTTAGTCAGCTTCCACCATGTCACCGCCGATTAAACTTTAAAAAATTCCGAGTAGAATAATTACAATATTACAATATCACCTTTAGATTTTCATACGTCAATTGAAGGGCATTCACATACCTGAACATAATGCGTAGCAGACGTTAATTATGTACGTTTAAACGCCCTTTTGAAATCTGTCGACGCGTTATGAATATTTATAAGAAAATACATGTTATTGAAGGATCCACAACAACTAACGAAGGTGGGAGTTAGGTATAAGATCTTAGGTGTCTTGTTTATCATTAGTGAATTTTCTTTCTTTGATTTCGCTTATTTTTAAATCAATCAATTCTAATCCCGTATATGGTAATTACAAGCTTTTTACCGGATTAATTCCTCACATTTCAACTATCGCTGACACAGCTCATAATAATTCAACCAAAGCCTTCTGTTATGGTATGAGATAGAAGCAAATCCTAATAACGTAGGTAACATTGTTTGTTGGTAAGTTCGGCGTATTGTACGGCTCCTCGCGGTCAGTGCACAATGCACATGCAACTTCGGACAGGACACGCTCCCGAGTTTTGGCTAACTGAATAGAGAATAGAGAGAGAGAGCACTGGGGCAGAATTTACTAGACGTTAACGATGTGTCATCTATGTTTAGTATCGCGTCGGCTTATTATTTATTATGCGTATAAAATATTAATGAGTATTTCTCAAAAAAAATGTACATTTTGAAAAAAAAAAGTGTGCTTTGAAACAGTTCAAAAGTTTTATATTTATAAATCATCACACAAAAAAAACACACACACAATTTTGAAGGATGACTATTAATCTTTAAGATAACGAAGAATTATAGCTATAATCCTACTTATTACCAAATATTTAGATATTTTAAAAATAGTCCTTTTTTACCTTTCATACAAAAACCTGTTTGCCACCCTAGCTTTTTCATGTATTTTTGTTTCATAAAATGCGATACGTAACTAAATTATTGTAAATTTCTTTGTATTATCGTTCTACAGTAATCGCAGTTTCTGTATCAAATTGATTTTCTATGGGGTGTCATAATGAATTGGCAATTTAAAGCAAAAAAACAAAATGAGTCGCTCTCATTTACTATTTCGTTATTTACTCTTTAGTTACGATTTATTTCTACTTTCCCATGGTTTCTGAACAATTCCGTATTTATTTTACACGGACAACAATAGCTGCACTCTGAATGGCTGTTGGCCTGACGTCTCCGCCATAACATCTATCGCGAAAATTAGTGAAAACGTGTGTGTTTTGTGGGATTACTTTTTCGTAACAGGCAGTAAAATCAGCGATTTTATATAGAACGGTAAGTCTTCATTTAACCATTTTTTGTAATACGTGTGGTACGAACATTTAGTAAGCTTTTATATTTGCTGTAACAAATTTTATCAAAAAAATACTTGTTTCTGATCTCATTTTGTCTAATATTTCGTTACGTTTTTTACGAATTTCGTTACGTTACGAAAAAGTACAACATAATGCTGAGTGTATACTGTTATTACCTGACTAAGCATAGTAATATTCACTACTTAATTTATTTCAAAAAATATAGAGCGTTAATAACAAAAGGATTGGATACTATCTGCTTTACAGAAGTGCCACCAGCAAAAAATTATCAAATCATTTAGATTACGTTTTTATGTGATTACTTCTTTTGTTTTTTTAGGAATGCCGCCAAAAACCAATGCCGAAAGGCAAAAAGCTTACAGAGAACGACTCAAAATGGATAAACATGATGGGAAAAAAATAAATTTATTAAAATAGTATGAATGATTACTCCTTATTTTATTTCTAACCCCTTAATATTACCCCGTATTTGGGTGCATACTTACAAATATTTCGAATTGAATAAATGAAGAGCATTCACAATATTTCGCCAATGTATAACAAGCCTTATGGCCTTACTATTTCGTTACTACCGTTTCGTTACGTACATTTTTTTTGAGAAATACTCTAATATATTTTTTAGAATCAGTAACTAATTGGGTACTTAACTTCTGAGAATCTGAGAGCGCGTTCACAACCAATCAAACAAAGTCTTCAGCTTTATAATTTTAAGGTTTTAGTATAGGTTAGAAAACACCTAGGCCGAAATAATCACTTATGTTTATGTACGCAAATTTCCTCTGACATAGTCCGAACGCCGATACGAGATCCTCAAAGAAAGTTGTCCACATCTTAAAGAAAATAGGAATAGCGTTTTACTTTAACAATAGGAACAACCCCGCCTGAAGCTGTGATTTGGTCATCGAATTCGTATGTAAATGTGGTCATTGGTTAGGTGGTGGTGCAGCGCGTGGAGGAGGCGCCGCCGCGTGCGCCCGCGCCGACGGGGGGCGCGCGCGAGCCGCCCGGCGTGGCCTACCAGGCCACCATGCGGGACAACATGTGCTTCCACGCCATCACCATGATGAAGGTACGCACGCAGTCACCGCACCAGCATGCCGCCCCGTACACTTGCAGACCTACACGTAAACTTGCACTTAGGTTTGTCAAACAACTAGTTTTTAATCTAGCGAGCCGCGCCGCAGTGCAATGCAACTCCAATGCCTACCTGGTTATATTACTTTTCATCAAAAACATTGACTTGTAAGCAAAAGTATGGATTCACCCTCTTGTTTTTTGATCCGATTTTTAGAAGTAAATGACTTAACCGGTGTTTGAATTGTTATTTTTAGCTGAATGTATGTATAAGTACAGGGTGTCAGGTAAATGAGCTATCAAGTAAACACTAGCCCATATTAACTTAATAATATGCTTAAACATAGTGTGGTAAAGTCAGAAATTTTACATATCATTAAATTATTAGACTCCAAACTTTTGCTCTCGGTAGCCGTTAGTTCGTAGTAGGCTTGTAGCGAGCTTTCGTAGCGTTAACATCGATGCGGCTACAGCGTGTTGTGCACAGCCCTAACGACTTGCCTTTGCACGCATTTCAACGTCCACATTTGCTGTTTGACAAACCCTGATTTACTTACCCCCTGCAGATTATAATAGAGTTAGTAGTTGATACGAGCATATTCTCCTATTCTGAAACGTCGCTCAAAACCGGACTATCAAACAAAGTTTCACAAGTTTAGGAAGCTGTAATCTATGCATGAATTTGAATCTACAAGTGGTTTTGAGGGTCGTTTCATAATACTATTCATAATGTTGCAATTTTATCTTTGTTCATAATGCTGTCTATTTACTGACTCCTGAAAATATTGGATGATGATTGAATTTTGCAATTAGCAGATTTAGTTAATGTAAACTTAATTGTTTTTATTTTCAAACTCATCCATAATCTTTGTAAATGAATGTGTATAATGTGTAATTTTTGGATGTATGTCTGACCTAGTTTGGCCACCCGGCTGAACAGAGATTTAAAGTTGTAATCCCATCGAATCCAAATGCGGAGTGGAGGTTGTTTGTTACTAGAATAAAAACTGTAAAATGTTGTGCTGAACATAATCTGATTTTTTACTTTACGTATCCAAAAATCAGCTAAAATAAATGTACTTTTTATCTAGATGTTGCTTGTATGTTAGGTACGTGATGAAAGATCGTAATGAAAAATAATGATAAATACTTAACGACAAAGTGCTTGAATTGTATTCAATTTGGTTCATGACAAAATACGTTAGACTTTTCAGCTGAACAACAACCATCCTCTCTACATATTTTGTGTAGTTAAATAGACACCTTGAAGTCACGAAAGTTTGAAGCGATTCAAACAACCATGAGTTTATTTATTAATAAAAAAATAAAATAGGTAACATTATGAAGTTTTTCAAAATCAGCTAGCTGATCGACCATTATATTTTATATTTGTCAAAAAATCCTACAGTCTCTTGTAAGTTGTACAGTCGCAGAATGAAAAGGTTCGTCACCTTAGTGTCGGTTTTCGCTTGCACTAGGTACTGTAAGAGTCAAACCTGCCAACATAACAGTGCAAGAAACAGTGCTGCTAACATTTAAATAAATGTGACGTTTGCTAACAAATAAGGTTTTGCTTGTTTATTTTTCTATCCCATCAGTGCAATGCAATGATGACATTGACCAATTGACAATAGTTTTTTTTTATTTAATAGAAATAATAATGGCAGGTTGAACCAACAAGAAGGTTTTAGTTTATCAATCATAATAATCTTCTTGACAAGATAAATCGTCAAACAACTTTGATCCGAATAATTTTGAACTTTACTGACGAACAGTTAAAGATTATTTTCTCTAACTCGAGATTATTCTGTAACATAGTTTCAAAAGGTAATATGTGCTCGCGATTCGTTGAAGGAATCAATTTGAAAACTGACGAACCTTTTCATTCCGTGACTGTACATTAGCATAGCAACTTTAACTTGTTACATGAGAACAAGTTAAAGTTGAAGCAAAAGAAGTCATGCGTAAGTTTGCTCGATGTTTACGTGTAGGCGTACCAGAGCTACTCGTTCGAGGAGCTGCGGCTGGCGGACGGCGGCTGGGGCGCGCGCGCTGAGGCGGCGGCGGGGCGCGTGCCCGCCGAGCGGCTGCCCGTGCGCGCCGCGCCCGACGGCTCCTACCACGCCACCTGGACGCCGCGCGCGCCCGGCACCTACGTGTTCCGCTGCACGCTGGACGACCACCCCGCGCCGCACGTGAGTCCCGCCACGCCGACGCTCCTGCTGCTCCATCTCCTGGTCTCCTCCATGATCCCGCGCCGCGCCGACGGCTCCTACCACGCCAGCTGGACGCCGCGCGCGCCCGGCACCTACGTGTTCCGCTGCACGCTGGACGACCACCCCGCGCCGCACGTGAGTCCCGCCACGCCGACGCTCCTGCTGCTCCATCTCCTGGTCTCCTCCATGATCCCGCGCCGCGCCGACGGCTCCTACCACGCCAGCTGGACGCCGCGCGCGCCCGGCACCTACGTGTTCCGCTGCACGCTGGACGACCACCCCGCGCCGCACGTGAGTCCCGCCACGCCGACGCTCCTGCTGCTCCATCTCCTGGTCTCCTCCATGATCCCGCGCCGCGCCGACGGCTCCTACCACGCCAGCTGGACGCCGCGCGCGCCCGGCACCTACGTGTTCCGCTGCACGCTGGACGACCACCCCGCGCCGCACGTGAGTCCCGCCACGCCGACGCTCCTGCTGCTCCATCTCCTGGTCTCCTCCATGATCCCGCGCCGCGCCGACGGCTCCTACCACGCCAGCTGGACGCCGCGCGCGCCCGGCACCTACGTGTTCCGCTGCACGCTGGACGACCACCCCGCGCCGCACGTGAGTCCCGCCACGCCGACGCTCCTGCTGCTCCATCTCCTGGTCTCCTCCATGATCCCGCGCCGCGCCGACGGCTCCTACCACGCCAGCTGGACGCCGCGCGCGCCCGGCACCTACGTGTTCCGCTGCACGCTGGACGACCACCCCGCGCCGCACGTGAGTCCCGCCACGCCGACGCTCCTGCTGCTCCATCTCCTGGTCTCCTCCATGATCCCGCGCCGCGCCGACGGCTCCTACCACGCCAGCTGGACGCCGCGCGCGCCCGGCACCTACGTGTTCCGCTGCACGCTGGACGACCACCCCGCGCCGCACGTGAGTCCCGCCACGCCGACGCTCCTGCTGCTCCATCTCCTAGTCTCCTCCATGAGGTCGCGCCGCGCCCGACGGCTCCTACCACGCCACGGCATGTGGTAGCGATGGGCGATTAATACTAAATTAATCGAATTACTCGAATGGTCTCTACTATAATTGAATGTAGGTATTCGATAAGCAATCGCAGTCATTCGATTGTCCTTAGATTATGTGGTGAGCAATACCGGAGTGCGCGGTGCTACTAACGAATGAATCGTTGCGTCGTTTCCATATTTTTGGTTGTTTGTCGTAGGTTTGATTTGATAGGTAATATCTATAGGTAGTGTTACTCGTACTGTTAAGAATTATAGATTTATTTACCAAGGATATTTATTTATTTAATTATTATTTTTTCGAAAAATCGCCCATTGCTTCCATGTGGCCGACACCACCGCGCCTCACACAATGGAACAAACGCTCCATCTTTTTGCTCTTCTCTATATGCCAGCCAATTCCTGCAACTACACCTTGTGACGTCGATGTAAGTGTTCTGTCCGTTTTACTTGGAGCGTGTCTAGCTCCTTTTATTTCTGTGTTGGAGAAACTGTAACTTAGCGGACAACTACACAGACACCGCACTTGACATTTTAATTCGTATCGAACAGTGTACTCTGCAACACGAAACAAATTTCAGTTCAAATATTCATTGTGCTTCAACCCTACCGCATTGATTACCTGTATTATTTTGTGAACAATTCCCCGTTTTAGTTTTTAACTTAAACTTCTGAAAATTGATTTATGTATTTTTAAACAAATACCTAGTTACTTCAGACTAACTAGATAAAGTTTCTCAGATCAACATACTTTTTGTGGCTTACGAACCTCATATGTCATTGATACACCCTATGTATTTAAAATGCCGCGTTTGTTTTTCATAAACTCGCCTATTTTGCCACGCATAATACTTACGTAAGATGTGGCTGATGAAAACCGATGTTGTCCATTATTTTAAAAGCTTATGAAAGTATTACGCACGTCAAAATAGATCCATTTAGTGTCCGACACGCGGTCACATTTAATGGAACTAAAAGCACTTAGGGCCTTATTTTCCACTCGTTGATTAAACCCATAATATTTATTACGAAGAGAAAAATATTTTGACAATATTTGGCACATTAACAAGCTATATTTATTTGTTGTTCAGACGTAAGTATACGTCAGATAACTAACGACTGAAAGTTTATGAATGACTAATTGGCATTAGTTTACTGCGGTTTTCGCGAAGCAGTTATGACTGTTATGAGTGAGGAAACCTGTGCATACATGTGGTGTTTACATTGCCGGACATAAAAAGTAATTGAATAATTTAAATATATGTATAGTTAAGGTAATTAATAACTTGCTATTAACTATAACGTAATTACACGAGCTTCTCGGTTCCCTCGGTTGTTTGCATCTGTTCACTTTTGGTACCCTCGGAATCGGAAATTATGTAAAAAATCAAAATGGAGGCTTGCGTCCGAATGTGCCTTCTACTTCACGCATGGAACATCCTCATCCTCATCTACGATTATTGTTCGAGTCGCGCTCTTGCTGCTGTATTTGAGCCCAACCTGGAACATTGCATGGTACGGGAGGCAGGACTGTTACAAAGAAATTGTAAACCATAATGCATATTTCTTGTACTCGCACGAAAATAGACAAGACATATTTAATGTTGCCTTTGCATAAAATCTTCTCTCCCTCCATTATTCAAGTAAATTGATAATATGAAGCGAAGTTATTTGTAATTTATGAAGGCGAAGGTTCAATCGACATCAGAAATCGATTCACACATATCGGTCAAATTCCGTCAACATATTCGCTCAGTTCATTGTCAGTGTTACAATGTTGCGTCAGTGATTCAATTCGCACTTGTCATTACTTAGTTCACGGAACTTCAGTGACACGTCTGTGATCTGTGACACTGACAGCACGTCACTGATTATAAAATGTGTGTGACTACAATGGACAAGTTTCTATTTTTTTTTCTTTTAATAAATCTTGAAAATATTGCGCATAACAAATATTCGCGCCATTTTGATCGGTGTAGTCACACCAGTACAAACTCGGAGTACAAACAGTACTTCTTCTTCATTTATTGATGGCGATGGACTTGTGTTTTTCGCCTCTGGGGGCAAATCACCCCTGGTCCAGTGCTGTTGACAGATCCATTTTTTTTTTAATCTTAGTTTTTAATTTTTCAGCCAGGGTCACTCAAGATTCTTTCTTAGTAAAATTGTGTAACCTTTTTTGACATAATTATCCAAGACCTAACCATATTTAAAAAGAAAAAGAAGACTGACTTTATAGTGTCATTCTCGACAATGCGTTAGGGGTGGTAAGGATTGTGAATGAAACTTGAACAGGTGGCCTGATGTCACAGCACCGCCTACGTTTAAGTTCCACGCGAAAATATGGAGGTAGTTTAAATAATTTATTTCTCAGCCATTTCTTGATGGATTTCAAAAATAACTTCACCGGCTTTTTAGTTTTGGTCTATATTTTAATCCCATTCAGTGAAATCTAATGTTTTCAACATCACAAAACTTCCCCATTGTTTGGTGTAGGAGGTGACCATCGAGATGGGCGACGACCCGACGGAGGAGTGCGAGGAGCGCGGCGTGCAGGCGGATGGCGCGGCGTTCCCGCCGGCCAAGACGCGGCGCTTCATCGCGCGCTACACGGCCGGGCTGCGCGTGCGCGCCAGCCCCAGCCTGCAGGCCGAGGAGGTGGGCAGCGTGCCGCCTGGTGGCACTGTTGCCTACGTCGAGGAGGTGCGTATGCGTTTTTGCACCACATTCTTTTTTCAGGTGCCGTCGACGCGCGTTTGTTGCGCTGCTAAATTAGATTGCTTTGCTAAATATTACATTGTTTGCGATAATATCGCGTCCACGGCGCGTGTTTCATTTACATGAAATGTGTGTCGCCGACGTCTGGAAAAACGTAGTGACCTTATGCTTACGAGACTATTCCGACATCTCTTTCCCACCACTGCAACTCCTGTGTAGCCAGGATCTACAGCGTGACCGCCAATAAAAACCCAACCAGTGAAGGTCAAATTTGTCCCGGGGGAAAGTTAAACTGTCATTGGACCCGCAACGAAATTAATCAGAAGAACATAGGAGGAGTTCGAAGTAAGGTGACCTTATGCTTTTAGAGCTTGCAGAATGAGCGGGCCCCACGCCCGGTAATTTGTGTGATACCTGGAAACTAGTTTATCACAGTTCTTTCATTTCACGAAAACGACGACCTTTACTCGTAGTAGGTGTCTGTACACACATATGGCGACAATGTGTTTGTTTTGTCAGTTGCGAGCGAGATGTCACTGGGGTCATCAGTATTTTCGTGTAATTTGTGTAAGATTAAATGGATTGTTAATTTGTACATTTGCGAGAGTTTTCCATTGACACCGCCTTGTCTCCAGGTGACCAACAAGGACGGCACGTGGGTGCGGCTGAGCGAGGAGTCCGTGCGCACCTACACGGACACGGGTGCCGCGGTGGCGTGGTGCCTGCAGCACAACCGGCACATCGACCGCGTGCTGCTCGTGCCCGTCGAGCCTTATTCCTCGCCGCAGGTCAGTGGACTATCAGTCGCACGCCTTTCAGCTTGTAAAGCCCAGAACAGACGGTGAAACGCAACTGCAACGAAACTGCAACTTTCTGATGATTCTTATGAATGAAACTGAAACTGAAAGTTTCAAACTGGTCGCGTCATATGTGGTCTCTCAACGGACACTATGGCAGAAACTTAGATGCAACTCAAAAGTAACTAGCAGTTGCAGTTTCGTTGCAGTTGCGTTTCACCGTCTGTACTGTTGGGGACAGAATTGATGCCACCGTATTTTAAACTTTAGTGAGGTAAGGTTCAAAACAAATGAAAAATATTTTTCTCTTTACCAGTTAAAGAGTTAAGGCACGAGTGAACAGGAATCTTTTGAGCAAGCTCACATTACGCGCTATTCACCCCTAGGGTAAGATAGTTATCAAGAGAAAACCTAAGTAACATTATACCCTGTCGTTTCAACAAAAAGAAATCCTGCTGGACGTATAGGTTTCCAAAGATTTCCAAACCGAGCGGTTCTGCGCTGTCCACAGTCAGGAGCCTTCTACGAGCTTCACTAGATCGTCGGTCGGTGAAGAGGTCAGAGGTAATTTGCACAGACTGGTACCATATTTACCATTGAATATTGATATTATTTTAACAAAACACAAGTTTATACAAACATTTCATTCTAATGTAATGTTTGACATACCTTTTTCATAAGTTTACAACCTATTTCTCTTTGTACATTTCTATTCTAACTTTACACGCTTCATCGTGAACGGAGGCAACTCTCGGAAAGCAAAAGTACACGTTAGAATAAATATTTTTCATTTTCAACAAAGAAAAATGTTGCAGAGTTCTAAAGTATTGATGTACAGTGAACTTTTTAGCCTTGCATGGCTGAATACATTTCTTAGGTCTTGGAATTGTATTTTTACATTGTATCAAATGCAGACAATTTTTTTACGCTTGTTTTGTTATAGATCTCCGGAGTTCTTGATATTTTTTATGGAGGTGTTCTTAGTAGCTTTGTTTTAAAAAATGACATAAAGAATGTCAAGAGATTTATCTCTTGTTGTTATGTTGTAGTCGGAGTATATGGGTGTATGGAGCGGGTACTGGGAGACGCAAGGCGAGGTGCAGTGGCCGCAGGAAGAACCGGATGACCTTGACGTTCCCGGAGCAGGTAATTAATCGTATATTTATTCTATTACTGTCTTTATCTGGCTCAAAAGATAAATTTATCACTGATTAATCTTTTTCCCAGAAATCCAACGCATTGATCGACGATGTCCTCCTTCCAGCAGTCAAACTGATCTGGTGAATGAGGTAAATGAAACAAAAATCTCGATGTCAGTCATCATTTATTGTGAATGAATATGAGAATAACCAAGCATTTACATTTCAGGGCGAAACAGCTACCATGCCTTTTGTGTACGCATTCGAGCCCTCAAAGCGTGCTCGAGTTATGCGCAATGAATCCACATCAATGCCGACCCCGAGGTTTGTATTAGTTATTTTGTAATCTGGGGAGTTTTATATAACACTTATTGCCTGCAATGCCAATTCTTTATGAATATGTGTGTGGCTATCTGTAATTTCTTAGAAACCATGGACCTATAAAAAAAGGCGGACGGAGTCTCATCAACANCCATCTCCTGGTCTCCTCCATGATCCCGCGCCGCGCCGACGGCTCCTACCACGCCAGCTGGACGCCGCGCGCGCCCGGCACCTACGTGTTCCGCTGCACGCTGGACGACCACCCCGCGCCGCACGTGAGTCCCGCCACGCCGACGCTCCTGCTGCTCCATCTCCTGGTCTCCTCCATGATCCCGCGCCGCGCCGACGGCTCCTACCACGCCAGCTGGACGCCGCGCGCGCCCGGCACCTACGTGTTCCGCTGCACGCTGGACGACCACCCCGCGCCGCACGTGAGTCCCGCCACGCCGACGCTCCTGCTGCTCCATCTCCTGGTCTCCTCCATGATCCCGCGCCGCGCCGACGGCTCCTACCACGCCAGCTGGACGCCGCGCGCGCCCGGCACCTACGTGTTCCGCTGCACGCTGGACGACCACCCCGCGCCGCACGTGAGTCCCGCCACGCCGACGCTCCTGCTGCTCCATCTCCTGGTCTCCTCCATGATCCCGCGCCGCGCCGACGGCTCCTACCACGCCAGCTGGACGCCGCGCGCGCCCGGCACCTACGTGTTCCGCTGCACGCTGGACGACCACCCCGCGCCGCACGTGAGTCCCGCCACGCCGACGCTCCTGCTGCTCCATCTCCTGGTCTCCTCCATGATCCCGCGCCGCGCCGACGGCTCCTACCACGCCAGCTGGACGCCGCGCGCGCCCGGCACCTACGTGTTCCGCTGCACGCTGGACGACCACCCCGCGCCGCACGTGAGTCCCGCCACGCCGACGCTCCTGCTGCTCCATCTCCTGGTCTCCTCCATGATCCCGCGCCGCGCCGACGGCTCCTACCACGCCAGCTGGACGCCGCGCGCGCCCGGCACCTACGTGTTCCGCTGCACGCTGGACGACCACCCCGCGCCGCACGTGAGTCCCGCCACGCCGACGCTCCTGCTGCTCCATCTCCTGGTCTCCTCCATGATCCCGCGCCGCGCCGACGGCTCCTACCACGCCAGCTGGACGCCGCGCGCGCCCGGCACCTACGTGTTCCGCTGCACGCTGGACGACCACCCCGCGCCGCACGTGAGTCCCGCCACGCCGACGCTCCTGCTGCTCCATCTCCTAAGCGCTTCATATTTGTTGTTGATACAGAAATCCCTTTGATTGTATAATTTGGCACTGTTGATATTTTTAGAGCACATTAATGACTATGCCAGCACTGGAACATTCTACTTTCTCAACTATGACTCTACAGCAAGAGTACCTACCAGCTGAATCAAATATTCTCAGTGTTCCACGAGAGGTGCGTAGTAAAATTAATAAATAAATAAATATTATTGTCGATGACATTAGCATAATTCATATGTATTTTGATAATGATAAAGTTTGAACAGAAATCCGTGGTGAATGTATTTTTTGCACTGTTAATATTTTAGAGCACATCAGCGACTGAGCCAGCACAAAATTCTGGTTCCTTGACTATGATTCTTCCTGTTGAACCAAATAATTCAAATGCTTTGCGAGAGGTGCGTATATAAATAATAATTAATTAGTAAATTATTATTTTATTAAAAGCGCTTCATATTTGATGTTGATACAGAAATCCCTTTGATTGTATAATTTGGCACTGTTGATATTTTTAGAGCACATCAACGACTATACCAGCACAGGAACATTCTACTTCCTTAACTATGACTCTACAGCAAGAGTGCTTACCTGCTGAACCATATATTCTCAGTGTTTCACGAGAGGTGCGTAGTAAAAAAAATGTTGTCGATGAATTTAACATATTAATATTTTTCATTTGTGGCGCAGGACCGGTCTTTGTGAAAATCCTTAGCATACAAAGATTTTGTCTGTAATAAAATCATTTTTCAGCAATCCTTGTTTCGCAAATAATCTTGATAATATACAGCAATTTAAGTTATAAATTGGTAGCTTAATCAACAGTAACACCCAATAATGTTAGTGTTTGGTACAATTGCGCGAAAGACCTTTATGATGTCATCGGTCCACCTTGTGGGTGAACGTCCCACGCTGCGGTTTTCCGGTACGCGGCCTCCACTCCAGAACCTTGCTGCCCCATCGGCCGTCAGTTCTGCGTACTATGTGCCCTGCCTGTTGCCAATTTTAGCTTGCTAATCCGTCGGGCTATGTCAGCGACTTTAGTTCGTTTAAGGATCTCCTCATTTCTTTTATTTATTTATTTGGAATAACTACAGCCATCTGACAGCCAGCCAGACACATCTCATTCGATCTCGTAAAGAAACACTGAGCATAGCCCTAGCATAGCATAGCTGTGCAACTTTGAGCTTCTGTATAAGGCCTTTAGTGAGAGGCCACGTTTCCGAACTATAAGTCATCACTGGTAACACACATAGTTATTTCGCGTTAGTGTCTTCGCGCTAATGTCTTTATAATGTTATGTATTTTTTCTTTGTTAGAATTATCCTGGAATTGGAGCAGATGAAAATATTCTATCAACAGTTAATTCTCCAAGAAAACGGCGGCTACAACAAACTCTCAACAAAAAACAAAATATTATTAAAAAACAAACACGAGAGCTTAAGACATTGAGGCAGAAAGTCAAACGACTTCAAAATAGAAACAGATCCCTAAAGGACATTTTAAAGTCCCTAAAAGACAGTAACTACGTTGATACTGAGACATTTAATAAACTAAAGGACAACTTAGTTCCTGTCGACTTATTCAATAACATGAACAGGAAAAAACAAAAAAAGAACATTAAATATACCCCTGCAGTAAAGAAGTTTTGTCTTACGTTGAATTATTATTCACCAAAAGCTTATAACTACGTAAGACAAACATTCAATACGTGCCTTCCTCATCTTAAGACTCTGTCTAAGTGGTATGGCCATATAAAAGGAGATCCAGGCTTTACTGAGGAATCCTTTCAGGTAGAGATGAGACGTATTTACTAGAACAGATCCACACACTAGGTATTTTACAGTACTAGGCGGCACCTATTCCAATTTTTTAAATACTTGATCCACCTAGTATTTTATAAATTACACGATTTCCGACCCTACCTTCAAAGTAATAGAGGTTATTATTGCGTAATCCTTAGTCGTGTATTACGCGCACCTAGTATTTCTCGCTAAGCTTATGTGCGAACGTAGAGATTCACTCCGTCTCTGTCTGACCAAACAAATTTGAGCGCGACGAAGCAAACGCACACAAACGTAGTCAAACCATATTCATGTAAATAAGAAAAAATATATAAATATTTTTATGAAATTGATATCTTTTAAATACGCCAACTTTTAAGTTGATAGTCCTAAGCCTGTTGAAGTATGAAGGGAGGAATTATTATTCAATTACAAATTGGATTATTCATACTACCTACGGTTGTATCTTTTCAAAAAAAAAATTATTTTAAAGTCATACTACGTGGATTAGTCCGCACTAGTCGCGTCAAGTATGCTAAATTACTACGTACTAGGTGGAATAGGTATTTGGATCAAGTATTAATAAATACTAGGAATAGGTGCACCTAGTATCAAATTTACCTAGTATAACCCATCTCTACTTTCAGGCATTGAAAGCCAAGGCACAGGTGAGCAAGCATCGACCATTGTGCTCTTTAACATTCGATGAAGTCGCTATTAGGCGTCAAAAAATATGGGACGGTAAGAAATATATTGGCTTAGAAGACATGGGAGGAGGAGTTCAAGAAGGTGCTGCTTTAGCTTCCCAGGCTTTAGTTTTTCTTCTTGTTGGCATAAATCACCGCTTTAAACTTCCTTTGGGATATTTTTTAAGCAACTCGTTAACAGGAGAACAGAAGGCAAATTTAATCAAAATTTGTCTCACCAAGTGCTTTCAGTCTGACGTTGACGTCGTTTCTATGACATGCGATGGTCATGCAACGAATTTTGCCGCATTAGAAATACTTGGATGCAATCTACAGCCGGAGAGGTTAAAAACAACATTTAAACACCCATCCAATGATTCCGAAATAGCATGCTTTCTGGACCCTAGTCACGTCATAAAGCTGCTCCGAAACCAATTTCAAGCTAAAAGAGAGTTCTTTGACAAAGATGAGAAAATTATTAAATGGAATACATTAGAAGCACTTAATAAAGTTCAGCAGGAAGAAGGTTTACATTTAGCAAATAAATTGTCAACAAAACATATTAATTTCAAAAATAACATTATGAAGGTAAAGCTTGCCTCCCAAGTTTTCAGTGTGAGCGTTGCTACTGCTATAAAAGCCTGCAGAGAAGACCTAAAGCTAGAATCATTTCAAGACACAGAGGCAACGGAAACTTTTATCAAAAACATAAACGATATGTTTGACATTTTTAACACACGAGCGATGACCCAATTTGACTTTAAAAAACCACTATGTGTTGAGAACAAAGACTTAGTATTTGGCTTTTTAGACGAACTCAAAGAATATATATTAAAATTGCAAATTAAATATTTATCGAAAAGAAAATTCAAAAAAGATGGACGAGATGCATACGTTATTACTAAATATTACAAACCTGTTGTAACTGCTAAATGCAAAACAGGTTTTCTTGGCACATTAATGAACATAGAAAGTCTAAAATACCTTTATACAAAACTAATACAAAATGAAAAAAAAATACTATTTTTACCTACATATAAAATTAGTCAAGACCACCTAGAAATGTTTTTTTCCTGTATAAGGATGCAGGGTGGATTCAACGACAATCCAAACGTCAAGCAATTCAAAGGAAGTTATAAAAAACTTTTAACGCATCTCGAATTGAAATGCCTCACTACTGGCAATTGTGTTCCGTTAGAACAAATATCCATATTAAACTGTTCATCGGCCACCCAAATTATTAACACAACTACTCCAGCATACAGACAATGTGAAGAAAATGACGAAAATTTTGACTCTTCTTTAGGATTTCTAAAAGAAATCACGAAAGAAGATAGTAATTTAGCGACGCGACTAAATTTAGAAGAATTGAATGATTACCGAAAGCTGATAATAGGGTATCTGGCAGGTAGCATTTGTCATTACGCAAACAAAAATATAAGGTGCGGAAGATGTACTGCGCGGTTGTCTACTGAAGAAAATCTGTATTTTCACAGATTGATAAATTTGAAAACCAGAGGAGGCTTATGTTTTCCATCGAAAGATATGTTCGATATTTGTTGCATTTGCGAAATGATTATACGAAGGATTATAAAAGAAGGCATCACATTATATAACGAAAGGCAACATAAATTTATCCTGACTAACATCTTAAAAAAATTTGTTGGCAATAAAAGCATATTTGTAAACTTAGAAATTGAACACACATTCGCCGGAACAGAACACAAAATAAGCCTCATTAAATATATAGCCGAAAAATATTTAACGATTCGATTTCACCACATCACCACATTGGAGGCAATTTCAAGAGTCTCTCAAAGTAAACGGCACCACTATAAAAAAATTACTCAGCTTTTGGGATGTTAAATGCGAAGTCTATCTAGTCTACTTTTTTATTTATTTTTTTTAAGGGACGCGCGCTTGTAGCTTGAGGAGCTTTTCCAGCTTCACCGGGCAGAGTGGCGAGTACAGAAGGTACTCTAGCCGTTTGGCGATCGTCGGTCGCAGACCGACGTTCGCGATCGGGCCGTATCGAGCGCATAAGGCGCCCGATCAGTGGCGAACCCAACTAGAGGGTTGCCCACCGCGGTGTTGAACCCAAGTCCAGCCTACGGCGGGCTCACTCTAGTGGGCCCGATCTATCCACAACGAGGAAGCTCTTATACTTATACTAGAGGCCGCCAGCGATTTCGCCTTTTTACCCCATTAGAGGTAAAGTTTCGTAAAATCCGTTCTAAGCGGATATCTATTTATAAGGAACCTACTTGCCAAATTTTTAGTTTGTAGGTGTTATAGTTTCTGATATTATTTAAGAATAAGAATATTTATTTTACGTGATTAATCAGTGAGTGGTATTTTGCTTTTATAAATACACTAACGGCCGCCCGCGACATTGTACGCGTGGATCCCTTTTTACCCCCTTAGGGGTGGAGTTTCGTAAAATCCTTTCTTAGCGGATTCCTAGTATGCCTACATCATAACATCTACCTGCATGCCAAATTTCAGCCCGATTCGTCCAGTGGTTTTCAACATTAGAATCCTAATTTCCGAAGAAAATAGGCATTTTTTTTTGTTTTTGTTATCTACCCATGCCAAGTCGGGGCGAGCCGTCCAGTAATTTATAAATGTAACGAATTGCCCTTATATGTAAAACAAAAGTTAGTTNCATCTCTACTTTCAGGCATTGAAAGCCAAGGCACAGGTGAGCAAGCATCGACCATTGTGCTCTTTAACATTCGATGAAGTCGCTATTAGGCGTCAAAAAATATGGGACGGTAAGAAATATATTGGCTTAGAAGACATGGGAGGAGGAGTTCAAGAAGGTGCTGCTTTAGCTTCCCAGGCTTTAGTTTTTCTTCTTGTTGGCATAAATCACCGCTTTAAACTTCCTTTGGGATATTTTTTAAGCAACTCGTTAACAGGAGAACAGAAGGCAAATTTAATCAAAATTTGTCTCACCAAGTGCTTTCAGTCTGACGTTGACGTCGTTTCTATGACATGCGATGGTCATGCAACGAATTTTGCCGCATTAGAAATACTTGGATGCAATCTACAGCCGGAGAGGTTAAAAACAACATTTAAACACCCATCCAATGATTCCGAAATAGCATGCTTTCTGGACCCTAGTCACGTCATAAAGCTGCTCCGAAACCAATTTCAAGCTAAAAGAGAGTTCTTTGACAAAGATGAGAAAATTATTAAATGGAATACATTAGAAGCACTTAATAAAGTTCAGCAGGAAGAAGGTTTACATTTAGCAAATAAATTGTCAACAAAACATATTAATTTCAAAAATAACATTATGAAGGTAAAGCTTGCCTCCCAAGTTTTCAGTGTGAGCGTTGCTACTGCTATAAAAGCCTGCAGAGAAGACCTAAAGCTAGAATCATTTCAAGACACAGAGGCAACGGAAACTTTTATCAAAAACATAAACGATATGTTTGACATTTTTAACACACGAGCGATGACCCAATTTGACTTTAAAAAACCACTATGTGTTGAGAACAAAGACTTAGTATTTGGCTTTTTAGACGAACTCAAAGAATATATATTAAAATTGCAAATTAAATATTTATCGAAAAGAAAATTCAAAAAAGATGGACGAGATGCATACGTTATTACTAAATATTACAAACCTGTTGTAACTGCTAAATGCAAAACAGGTTTTCTTGGCACATTAATGAACATAGAAAGTCTAAAATACCTTTATACAAAACTAATACAAAATGAAAAAAAAATACTATTTTTACCTACATATAAAATTAGTCAAGACCACCTAGAAATGTTTTTTTCCTGTATAAGGATGCAGGGTGGATTCAACGACAATCCAAACGTCAAGCAATTCAAAGGAAGTTATAAAAAACTTTTAACGCATCTCGAATTGAAATGCCTCACTACTGGCAATTGTGTTCCGTTAGAACAAATATCCATATTAAACTGTTCATCGGCCACCCAAATTATTAACACAACTACTCCAGCATACAGACAATGTGAAGAAAATGACGAAAATTTTGACTCTTCTTTAGGATTTCTAAAAGAAATCACGAAAGAAGATAGTAATTTAGCGACGCGACTAAATTTAGAAGAATTGAATGATTACCGAAAGCTGATAATAGGGTATCTGGCAGGTAGCATTTGTCATTACGCAAACAAAAATATAAGGTGCGGAAGATGTACTGCGCGGTTGTCTACTGAAGAAAATCTGTATTTTCACAGATTGATAAATTTGAAAACCAGAGGAGGCTTATGTTTTCCATCGAAAGATATGTTCGATATTTGTTGCATTTGCGAAATGATTATACGAAGGATTATAAAAGAAGGCATCACATTATATAACGAAAGGCAACATAAATTTATCCTGACTAACATCTTAAAAAAATTTGTTGGCAATAAAAGCATATTTGTAAACTTAGAAATTGAACACACATTCGCCGGAACAGAACACAAAATAAGCCTCATTAAATATATAGCCGAAAAATATTTAACGATTCGATTTCACCACATCACCACATTGGAGGCAATTTCAAGAGTCTCTCAAAGTAAACGGCACCACTATAAAAAAATTACTCAGCTTTTGGGATGTTAAATGCGAAGTCTATCTAGTCTACTTTTTTATTTATTTTTTTATTTTTTTTAAGGGACGCGCGCTTGTAGCTTGAGGAGCTTTTCCAGCTTCACCGGGCAGAGTGGCGAGTACAGAAGGTACTCTAGCCGTTTGGCGATCGTCGGTCGCAGACCGACGTTCGCGATCGGGCCGTATCGAGCGCATAAGGCGCCCGATCAGTGGCGAACCCAACTAGAGGGTTGCCCACCGCGGTGTTGAACCCAAGTCCAGCCTACGGCGGGCTCACTCTAGTGGGCCCGATCTATCCACAACGAGGAAGCTCTTATACTTATACTAGAGGCCGCCAGCGATTTCGCCTTTTTACCCCATTAGAGGTAAAGTTTCGTAAAATCCGTTCTAAGCGGATATCTATTTATAAGGAACCTACTTGCCAAATTTTTAGTTTGTAGGTGTTATAGTTTCTGATATTATTTAAGAATAAGAATATTTATTTTACGTGATTAATCAGTGAGTGGTATTTTGCTTTTATAAATACACTAACGGCCGCCCGCGACATTGTACGCGTGGATCCCTTTTTACCCCCTTAGGGGTGGAGTTTCGTAAAATCCTTTCTTAGCGGATTCCTAGTATGCCTACATCATAACATCTACCTGCATGCCAAATTTCAGCCCGATTCGTCCAGTGGTTTTCAACATTAGAATCCTAATTTCCGAAGAAAATAGGCATTTTTTTTTTGTTTTTGTTATCTACCCATGCCAAGTCGGGGCGAGCCGTCCAGTAATTTATAAATGTAACGAATTGCCCTTATATGTAAAACAAAAGTTAGTTGTAACCCTTAATCAAATACGGGGAAAATCATTCCCACTTGGCCAGTTTGGACAATATCAATATTTTCTCCAGAATGACAACACTTAATATGAATGCCAACTATAGGTACTTAAAGAAAAATATTGTTTCCATTTGAGTTTAATTTGATTTCTTAGTCAAAATATTATGATTTATGTGTACCTACCTACTAATTGTTTGTACAAACTTACTATAAAAATAAAATAATTTATCATAATAACTGTGTTTTATTTTCATAGGCAGATTTGATCCTTCCCAAGGATGTGAAAATGCGAAATTAAAATTTTCTTGAGTCAGTGTCAGCTCAGGTCTTATGTTAAAATCTGTCAGAGTTAATAATAATAAGTATATTAGTGATACATAAGATTATGATTATTTACACAAGATTCGTAATTTGTAACTGTGTGAATCATATGTGAATCATATTTTGATCAACATAAAACCTGACACTGACTTGCAAACAAAAAAAGAAAATTTGAAAATTTAATATTTCGCGCCTAGATGTTCATTTGTTTTTGTTTTTTGGCCAAATTCAGGAAAAGCTAGTCCTCTTGGTCACGTGTACAATTTAAGTTGGTTGGGTTTTACGGCCAAGGGTACAGCGGTTAAAATTTATTTTCCACTGTACCATCAAGGGAACAGCCAAGGGTACACAGGAAAATAAGGGAACGCATTCACCTTCCATCCTTTTCAAATGGCACGGTATAATTTTGTCTAGGTATATTTCCAAGTAACATATCTGCCGATCTATGTTTTTCTTAAAATAAATGGGTAAAATGTTTTGGCTAACATGGCATCCCTAAATTCACTCACACAATAGACAAACGCCAAAATTTTGCGTCACAGTTTTGTTGTAGCGCGAGTTCCGTCCGCCTTTTTTTATAGGTCCATGTTAGAAACTAACGAGAAGTAGTAAAATTAAGATAAATAGAGTAATTGATGTGAATTTCAGACGAATCCGACGGTCGAACGGCAACGCAGACGAGTACTGGTCGCCGATGAAGACGCGCTCCAGCGACAACGTGCGCGACACCACCATCGTCGAGGCAAGTCCCTCGCTTGCTACCCTCGCACTGAATGTTGTCCAATGGAGTAATCCTGGAATGACACTTTTTTCGTAACCCCAATTAATGATATTTTTATTTGCTAATTTGAGAACTGCAAGTTCTGAATGAACCCAAATCTATTAGTTCAAGCTACTTGTCCTTATTATTGATTTATGTGCTGACATCTAAGCTAACTATCGTTGTATACTTCGAGCGTTATTATGTAGAAATCAATCGGCAAAGTCTTTATTTCAAAATTCAGATATTTAAAATTTTATTTTGGCAGTAAATAAATGTTGTCCGCAAGACTACTCTATCTGAATGTTATGATTTGCTGCTGAATCGTGCCCCGTGTGTCTGTTTTTGTTTGTGGGGGGTGGCAGAGGGCGCGGCGCCGGGCCGCTGTGGGATGTTTCTCATTATTTTACCGTAAATGGTTTGCTAGATAGCGTCAACACATTCTGATAGCAGGGACTTAGACCGGATCCCTGCCAGCTCCGGCTCACGTTGTAGCTACGGACCTCCCTATTACGGACCTATGTAAGTAGCTGTGCTTGCAGACGGAGCTAGAGCCGGAGGAGCGCGAGGCCGTTGGCGCGCGCCTCGCGCAGGCCGGCACTCAGACCTCGCCCGAGAGCGCGCTCTCGCTCGACGACGCGCCCAGCGCAGTACATTTGTACCTCGCCGGGAACAAGGTAACGCCTCCGCTATACCACTCGCTTCGGCGAACTACTGAACTTAGCCGAGTAGTGAAGTCAAACTGCGAAACGCCCTAACCCTTTGACTCGGGCTCAACAATCGGAAGTTGGTCGAAGGTTGCTCGAAGAGATATGAATAGAATAGAATAGAAAACTTTTTATTTGCAAGAAAGTACAAGCAAGCAAGACATAGATTCAAACAGAGAGAAATAACAAGTGGACAATTACCTGCTTGTGCCCCTCTAACAAAAAAGCACCCGCTCAGCGTACATCAAGACCGCCAGGGCTTGTCTTGAAACTGATTTTCAGCGGGGGCCCTATGAGATATGCGTGTTCACATTATCTTACTTCGATTAAACTCGACCAACTTCGCGAGTAGTGTAGCGGAGGTATAAAGACGCTTCACAGAGTCACCGCACGCCACCGGCCACTGTCATGCTGCTGCAAACGGTAAACGGTAAGGCTTAAGTGTCATCAATGATTTCAACTGTCCTTTATCGGCATACTACTCGAACACACTTGACACTTTTATTACACAGGTAATTTAAAAACTCAAACACTAAATAATACAAATAATAATCATAATACATTTTAGAGATGATTATTAAATTGCTTCCTAGGCACAATATCGTCTTTTGTATATCGTCTTTTATATTTATTCTTCAACTTAGCATTTGATACCTTAGAAAACAAAAATAGAATTTAGTGCTTTTTCGTTGCAAATCCAGTTAAGCCATCATATCGATTTCTGTAAATTCACATAGTTATCAAAAACACATTATTCTTAAAGGAGTTCGACATCAAGTTAATAATTTTGCTTGATAACAATTATTCTATTAATCAATCATCGCAGTATCGTGCACATCACACATTTTAAACCTAAAAATACTCACTCATACTACACCACCAAATGCTTGTAGTTTGTTTTAATCAAGCTGATACTGTAAAACTACAAGTCTCAGAATTTGTTCAAAATTATGATTGTATCCACGAGATCCTGTACGTTTTGTGACAAAGAAATATCTCCATTTGCACACAAATCGGTCAGGACAGAATTGGTCCTTCGAGCCGGATAAAAATGTTACATAATCTTTCGAATATCCTAACGTGATTGTGTGTCAGCTCGTTTAAAACCGCAAGTGGCGCGTAGCTACGATTGTACAGGCATTACATGTGTGTTGACATGGTTGTGTTGCGCAGGACGGGCGCTTGAGTCCGCGCGCGGCGGTTCGCGAGCGGTTGTCGGCTCGGCGACTGAAGCGAGCGTCGTCGCCGCCGCCGCTGCCAGCGCGCTCGGCGCCGCCGCCGCGCAAGCACGCGCTTAGCCCTGCTCAGGCCGAGTGTCTGCGTGCCATCTTCGCCGCTTTGCTGTGGCATGAGGGTACGTGTAATGATACAGACAATTTGCAGTCTGCTTATTATTTTGAGGAGTGGTATCGGTTATGCGTGGCATGGGTGTTCTAAAACGATGCTGAATTAAACCATTAAACATTGATAGGGTCCGCATGGGGCGTGCCGGAGATTTCTGGAACGCATGCCACAGGGCCCGCAATCTGGGTGCGAAGTTTACTAAAAAATAGAAACAGGCATGGCGCGTCAGACAATCTGAATGATGAATTTCATTGGTCAATAGCACGGTCGGTATAATGCATGCGGGGAATCCCCCAGGCGTTGTACCGAACGCGTACCGACTTGCAACTTTCATTGGTCGTTATCTCGCATGCGGGGAGTCCCCGCATGCTGTATACCGAACGAGTTATCGACTAATGAAAATGCGCCATTATTCCAACAGGCATAGTGCACGACGCGATCGCGTGCGCAGCGTTCCTGAAGTTTCACCCGCAGCTGCCTAAGCAGGGCGCGCGCGTCGTCACCCGCGCGCCGCACGACCACGCCGCGCGTCACCAGCGCCACTCCGTTGAAGTTTCCAACGCTGGTTAGTGCCTATTTTTTTATATAATTTCTTAGCTACTCTACTCATATGGTGCTTCGACGAAGTTAGCCGACTGGTGTAGGCAGACACATCGTGTTCAAAATTTGTTTCGAACACTTCAGGCCCTTTGACTTGAGCGCAAAAATCGACTACAGTCGGAAGTCTGGAGAGGAGACGTGAGGTTGAGCGAAGCGAAGAGAAATGCGTGTTTATACTTCTATTAATAATTCATAATCTATCCAATGAACCTTGCAACACTACATAGTCAAATTCTAGTGATGATATGCTAAGTTCTCATACTTTTAACCTTAATTGATTTTGATCACCGGTTTGTCCCCTTTGCCAGCTTAATTAAGAAGAATTTTATATTCCAGCTGGTCAATATCTCAGCATGCCGCCGGCCACCCTCGAGACGTTAACGCGTTCGGGCGAGGAAGCGAGCTCCAGCCGCGCTCGCAAATCTGACATTGACACGCCCATCAACGAGGAAGACGCCGGGGAAGGTTTGTCATTTAAAGGCTCCCACAGACCAAACTCGGGTCAGAAGCAGTGCGGGTCAGTTGCAGCGCCGCTGAGGCACACTGAAAGCAGCTCAGTTTCAAAGCAGTTGCAACGCGGGCCGTTGTCAAAAATTTAAATATTCGAAAACCGCTTTCAACGTCCTGCTACCGCCCTGCGTCCGGTGTGTCATGCTAATATGGCCGCCATAGTAATACAACAGCGCGGGCCCGCATTCGCGCCACTTCTGTCCCGGAACCGCGCCGCCTCGTTTGTATTTCGGCAGTTGCAGTGCGGCGCGGTTGGAGCGCAGGCCCGCGTTCAAATTTGGTGTGACATACTTCAAAGAGTTTCTTGTATTACAACTTGCGCGGGCCCGCATTCAAACTGCGCTGCTACTGCCCTGCGTTTGGTCTGCCCAAGGCTTCTCTACAACTCCTTATTCAATCATTTAAAGTTTCTAGGTGAATAAAACGACTCAATTGTGTATAATTTTTCAGCATCAACCTCCTCGGTTGTAAATGTATTGCCCCCTGCTCTGCGCGCTCTGGTCGCGTTGTGGGATGCACTCTATGACGCCAAGCAACTTAGAGTTGCAACTGAAAAGTAAGTCACTACATCATAACTGTCAGAAATCGACAAAATGTCTGATATTTAATACTAATCGTGAACTTGTTTCTTTTCTAGGATAATAAAAGACAACTTCGATAAAGAAGACGATGATCCACGACCTATAATCAAAGTTCGACAGAAGAAAGTGTGGCGGTCGATTACTAAGACCCCGTATTCGAGTAAGTATCAATATGTACCTTTTTAGCAAAGTAAATTTTTATTTCTGTTGCCGTTAGAGGCTGCAAGTTATGTGTGATTTACTATTATAACGGGTATAGGCCGTTATTGGCGGGATATAGAGGATCACGGCATGAATTTCATCGCCCCAGCAGCTATTCGCTCGCACCTACCGGTGCACGGTGTAGGGCTGACACCTAGGAGAGAACAATTGAGGCAAAATTCCATATGCCATTATGTAACGAACGTCATATTGACTGTGTTTTTGTCTTAAACTTTAGCCAAATAAAGGCGTTCGCAAGCTTGCGTCCGCGATGGCCTGCTCGGTGGCGATCACTGCGCTGCAAAAGTCGTATCCACTGACGCAATCTATGCTGTAGCGTACTATAATTTGGGAGCTGTATTAAAATCTTGAGATCTCGAAAAGTAAATAAGATAAGAAAATCTTTATTGTACAAAAAACATACATAGGGACTTAAATTATACACGCATATTTTTGTGCCAAAAAGGCACCCGTTCAGCATTAAACCGTAAAACTACTGATGTTATAAAATTATCACTTCGCGGTATATTACAACAAAACTTTTATAACGGTAAATAAGATATTTACCCTCCCGACGTTTCAACTCGGTTGCACGAGTCATGGTCGCGGGCAGACTGAAGAGATGCGGCGTCGTCTGCTCCGGCGCGATGAATTTTCTTCACCCACCCGCATTTACACAATATTTTCGTCAGTGGTACAGTCAGTCCGACAACCTGGTGTTGTTTTACAGCAGAGTAAATACAAATGAGTAGGTCATCTTCATAGAAACGCCCGAGCGCGGTTTGTATGTGAGCGCGCCAATACGTATGCGGCGCGCACGCACACACTGACAAAATTTAGCGTGGATTAGCGGGGAGTTGCGCAGAATTTTGTCAGTGTGTGCGAGCGCGCCGCATACGTATTGGCGCGCGCTCACATACAAACCGTGCGTTTCTATGAAGATGACCTACTCATTTGTATTTACTCTGTCTACAGTTAGTTGCGAGCTGTGCGGCGGCGCAGGAGTGCCGCCCCCGCTTGCGGCGCATATGCGGCACGCGCACCCGGGCTGCCGCGCGGCGTCCGTGCGCGGCTACGACCGCTCCGGCACCTACCGCCGCTGCGACACGCCGCAGGACGTCGTCGCCTCCGTGTGCGGACAGCTGGCGCAAGGTACGACCCGTATCCCACTGTAATAAGGCTCAACTTCGCACATGCGGCACGCGCACCCGGGCTGCCGCGCGGCGTCCGTGCGCGGCTACGACCGCTCCGGCACCTACCGCCGCTGCGACACGCCGCAGGACGTCGTCGCCTCCGTGTGCGGACAGCTGGCGCAAGGTACGACCCGTATCCCACTGTAATAAGGCTCAACTTCGCACATGCGGCACGCGCACCCGGGCTGCCGCGCGGCGTCCGTGCGCGGCTACGACCGCTCCGGCACCTACCGCCGCTGCGACACGCCGCAGGACGTCGTCGCCTCCGTGTGCGGACAGCTGGCGCAAGGTACGACCCGTATCCCACTGTAATAAGGCTCAACTTCGCACATGCGGCACGCGCACCCGGGCTGCCGCGCGGCGTCCGTGCGCGGCTACGACCGCTCCGGCACCTACCGCCGCTGCGACACGCCGCAGGACGTCGTCGCCTCCGTGTGCGGACAGCTGGCGCAAGGTACGACCCGTATCCCACTGTAATAAGGCTCAACTTCGCACATGCGGCACGCGCACCCGGGCTGCCGCGCGGCGTCCGTGCGCGGCTACGACCGCTCCGGCACCTACCGCCGCTGCGACACGCCGCAGGACGTCGTCGCCTCCGTGTGCGGACAGCTGGCGCAAGGTACGACCCGTATCCCACTGTAATAAGGCTCAACTTCGCACATGCGGCACGCGCACCCGGGCTGCCGCGCGGCGTCCGTGCGCGGCTACGACCGCTCCGGCACCTACCGCCGCTGCGACACGCCGCAGGACGTCGTCGCCTCCGTGTGCGGACAGCTGGCGCAAGGTACGACCCGTATCCCACTGTAATAAGGCTCAACTTCGCACATGCGGCACGCGCACCCGGGCTGCCGCGCGGCGTCCGTGCGCGGCTACGACCGCTCCGGCACCTACCGCCGCTGCGACACGCCGCAGGACGTCGTCGCCTCCGTGTGCGGACAGCTGGCGCAAGGTACGACCCGTATCCCACTGTAATAAGGCTCAACTTCGCACATGCGGCACGCGCACCCGGGCTGCCGCGCGGCGTCCGTGCGCGGCTACGACCGCTCCGGCACCTACCGCCGCTGCGACACGCCGCAGGACGTCGTCGCCTCCGTGTGCGGACAGCTGGCGCAAGGTACGACCCGTATCCCACTGTAATAAGGCTCAACTTCGCACATGCGGCACGCGCACCCGGGCTGCCGCGCGGCGTCCGTGCGCGGCTACGACCGCTCCGGCACCTACCGCCGCTGCGACACGCCGCAGGACGTCGTCGCCTCCGTGTGCGGACAGCTGGCGCAAGGTACGACCCGTATCCCACTGTAATAAGGCTCAACTTCGCACATGCGGCACGCGCACCCGGGCTGCCGCGCGGCGTCCGTGCGCGGCTACGACCGCTCCGGCACCTACCGCCGCTGCGACACGCCGCAGGACGTCGTCGCCTCCGTGTGCGGACAGCTGGCGCAAGGTACCACCCGTATCCCACTGTAATAAGACTTAAATTCCAATGAAATAAATTAATAGAAGCCGCGTACCGGAAAGCGCAGCGTAGGACGTCCACCCACAAAGACCGACGACCTTATAAAGATAGCAGGAAGGCGCTGGATGCAGGCCACCACCAACCGGCCATTGTGGAAATCATTGGGAGAGGCCCATGTTCAGCACTAGACGTCCTATGGCTTAAATGATGATGATGATGAAATTAATAGTTTAAAAAAACTAAAAACACGCTTTAGTAACCTCCCGACTCCATCATCAGGACCTTGGACATCATTTAGCACTAAAGTGCTCGAAAAGAAAAAACCAATGAACCCAAACTCGATGCGATTCCGCCGTTTCGTTTAGGAGTTTTCATATAATTGCCAAGTTTCATGATGATACAAGAAATGTGTAACTCAGATTCTTAGATTCCATTACATAGTTAGTTACATACACGACGATCTAATAAAAGCGTGTTAAAAACCTGTTTTTTTCTGTCAGTGTCTAATACAGCCCTGTACCTTACGAGAGCAACAAATTGAAAGTTACCTGAATTCACTTTCATTGATTCAAACAATCTACAGCCAATAAGATCATCCTTTCATCCTACATTCCACTTTAACTTTTGCTGTACCTGGTGACTGTTACGGATTCTCTCATAATATTTTTTACAATATCTTTTTTTCAATAGCGTGCCAACTGTGGTACACATTCTGCGAGAGGTGCCGCGAGAAAGCTCTCAAAGCCGCTTCGTCCGTGAAGCAACCAAAGACCAAGTCGATCTCGGAACTGAGCTACGAACGCGTCATGTCCTCCGAGATAGACCACCAGGTCATCAGGGAGAACGCAATGTTCTTGCTCGACCTGGCTCCACTGACCAATTCAGGTAAGTGCATGTAGGGGTTATTTTCTCGTAAATGTTAATACTTGACATGCTTTTCTTTAACATTAATGATGTTATTATAAACATTCAAGGTGTTGGATTAGATTTTTAAGAATGGTCCCTCTTACTTTTTTTATGCATGACAAGGCATGTATTTGACCGCAATCAAAGTCAAAGTCAAAGTCAAAACTTCTTTATTTGTTTAGACTAATAAATAGTTCTTACAAATCGTCATATGCTCTTAAGGAGCCTCTACATGTCTCATAATCTTTTTACCCTACCAGCGCTTCGAAACCAACATTTGGCAAGTGCTGAGAAGAAGCGCCGCAACAAACTCAGTCACCACTGTCTGCCGGTTAATATAAATAAATAGAAATAGTAGTAGTAGCTACATTCGATTCAGGAGCAGTTCACTGAATTTACCATGCATTCTTGTATGGTGTATCATAAGAATGGGTATACAAGATTGCGTGGTATATTAAACAAGGTAGTGACGTGCTAATATCTAGACTTACATATAAGGTACTAGTAGAAATGACTCGCATACATAAATTTGAATAACATATAATCGCACCTGGTGTTAAGTGAGATGCGGTCTAGGATGGTACATAATTTGCCCTGTAAGTGCCTGTTCACGTAGACAAAAACGAATCACGTAAGTGTTACTCCTCGGTACGCCCATGAATATCAGAATAATCTGTCTGCATATTAAAAAGACCTATCACAAAATCTGCTCCAAGCTCAGCATTGATCGAGTTATGAACAGTCGCATCTTGTCATAGAATCGCTGAGCCGCATGTCGCCGATCCACGAGGGGCAGGTGCGCAGTCCGCCCACGCCGCCGGGCAGCGTGTGGCAGCCGGCGCCGCCCTTCCAGTGCCTGCCCGCCCTGGGGCTGGCGCCCAAGGCCGCCCTCGCCGCAGAGACCGCGCGCTACCACTCGCTGGGGCGCCCGCCGCCGTCAGCCGCGCATGCCGTAAGTCAAGGCTGCTTAACCCCAGGCCCGCGGGCCACAGTGTGGCTCGCAAAAGAATTTTAAGTTTCCCGCGCATGTATAGTTTGAAAAAAAACCGCACCAATAGAAAAAATCCCGCCCCGCACAGTACAAACGACCTCTCTGAAGTTAGCTGTCAAAAATGTAGGTGGCCCGTCGTTAACGACTGAATCCACCGTTTGGCCCGACTCTTCAAAAGGTTGAGCAGCGTTGCCGTAAGTGATGTACCTCTTTTCAGGGTCTTGGAAGTCAGGACTATTTTAGCTACTTCTACCAATTGAATATAGTCCGGTCGCCGACCACGTAGAATATCGTCCAATGACAGCAATATAGTTACGCGCGAGCAATAAAGATGGGTAGCTTGGGGTCATTGGACGAAATTCCACGTGCTCGGCGACCGGGCTTTAGTTGACAGCAATAACCAGCTAAAACAGACCTGATGACGTAATAGCCCCCTTTGACAGCTCACAAAATATATTTCAGTTAACTATGGATAACCTATCAGGACTATTTTATTTTGAATTTATTACTATCATAAAAGTCCATTGTGTGTTAAATATACCTTTGTCGTCCGTGCCCCCGTCGAGCGGACACATTCTCGTCATTTGTGTTACTTTCAGCATAAATTACACGCCTCCTGGCGTGACATTCCGAAAATTAGCTTCCTACAGCGGCGAAATTGCATCATCCATTGCAAACGTTATTTCAAGGGCAGTCAAGGATAACATGCGACTGACGCGTGCAAGATCCGGAGACCGTTGTTCCAAAGTGACTTATGAGTCTTGACTATCAGGGGCGGACTTAGACTTCAAACTATAGTTTGTGTCGGTAGCTCCTTAACAAATTCGGTTGCAGGAGGCGAGCGGCTCCGGCGAGGGTCCCAAGGAGGCGGCGCCGCGCGTGCAGCGCTCCGTGTCCATGGGACAAGCGGGCGCGCGCGACCTGGCCGCCGCGGCGCGCCGCTCGCACGAGCCGCTCGCAGCTATCGAGCGAGACATAGACCAGGACACGCTCTCAGGTACACCCACACTACCTGCTGAAATGATGACGATGATTTTGGGTTTGATAAATAAACCCAAAATCATCGTCATCATTTCAGCATACGTGCGCGTCCCGCTCGCAGCTATCGAGCGAAACATAGACCGCTCTCAGGTATATTTATTTATTTATTTATTTATTTATTAGGTACACCAACAAAGTCACATACACAATACAGTTCATACATTTTAACATGGTTTAACACATGATACGTATATGACCTCAATTACAGGCATACACAGCATTTCTTTTTGCAATGTTAGGGTAATTATACACTAGTAAAAACAAAAATCAATTGAATAGAGTCTAGAGTTTAAGCACCGAACAATATAAAGGACTTAGTAATTGTTCATTTTGTTCGGTGCCTAAGTCGTTCCGAATACAGGCTTGAGTTTTGACTTAAATTTAGGGACATGATGACAAATGCACATGAAATTCGTACTCATTGCAACTACAAAGATCAGACAGTATATTGACGCACTGTATATGCGAGTCGGTGAAGGGCCGATCCGAGGAGGCAAGTTCTAATTAGTGCAACACAAAAAATACATCTATACTGATTTACTGATATTAAAAAGAGGAAAGATTTGATTGTTTGTTTGGAGGGAGTAGCCTTCGAAACTAATGGACCGATTCGAAAAAATCTTTCACCATTACCAACCAAAAATAGGCTATAAAATATTTTCAAAAAAGTTAGTCAAACTTTAAAAATGTATTAATAAATGTATTATTTAATAAATTAAGTAGCATTACCATTTTCCGCAATTTGGTACTTCACGTACACATTAATTTACCGAAGTTCGTTTAGAGCCAACTATTGTCAAATATTATAGGTGTCAATTAGGATACGTTCAGAATGTAATTTTGCTATTATAAAGATATGCTAAGAAATCTTTTTAGTGGGCGTTACGAAGTTCGCCGAGACAGCTCGTCACAAATAAATATCTGTGATAGTAAAATACTAAATTGAATTAACCTTTTCAGCTCGCAAACGTAGGTGTGCATTTCCAGATATCCCAGTAATTCGTCATTGGAATTTCCAATAATTAATTTTCCATTTCAATATGACAATAGGATCGTGGCTAATCTGCGAACTCAAAGGTCAGCTCTGTTGTTCAATCGCGAAAATACGTAGAAATGCGAATACATTTATATCTTATTTTGAAACAGTATTAATTCACGGCACGTGTAGAGTTCTGTGTTAATAAAATTATTTATTACCGTCGAAATAGTAATTTTTATTTGTTGGTCTAGTATTTTGTAAGAAGTAAAAGACTAACCTGGTTAAAGACTAAATGATGACCTGATGATGATGATGATAATAATTTACAAAAGTTGAAAATTGTTCTACGCACTATGGTTTTTATTTAAAAAAAAAACAGATTTCTTAAACCAGTTTGATTATATCGCAACAGTGATTCGAGTCCATACCCATTCGTAAAAAAAATTACTTCTAGCATGAGTGTGGCAGATTTGATATAACTGCCTCTATTATCAACCTCGTCATACTGTCACGTCACACTGACGTCACAGAATGTTCTTTCGATTGTGTGTCAATAGCTTTGCGATATTACATCGGCTTATATTGCCGTAGGTGTCGGCTCATCCCTGCTGTCCCAGCCCAGCACGGCACTACAGAAGCTGGTCGGCTGCGGCGAAGATGCCGCCGAAGGCTGCACCGTCTCGGCCTTTGAGGCCCCCCACGTTGACTCGGACGCGCTTATGAAGCGTCCCGTACTGGAGTTCGTGCTAGCCCGAAGGGACCTGCACGCCTACACACAGAAACTGGACGGAACCGTCAGGATCAATACTGTTCGACAGTTTGCTTTTGAGGTATGTGACATAGACATTGTAGTCTTTTAGTCGGCCGTTTGGTGTAGTGGTTCGAAACGGACTACTATTCCGGAGGTAGCGGGTTCTATTCCCGCACAGTACAAACATTTGTGTGCATGAACATATTTGTTTGTATTGGACTGGGTGTTTTCTATGTATAATAAGTATGTATTTTCAAAAAAAAAGTATTTAAGTATGTTTATATCCGTTGTCTAGTACCCATAGTACAAGCTTTGCTTAGTTTGGGACTAGACGCGCAGTGTAAAATGTCCAAGAATATTTATTTATTTTTTATTTTATTTTTTTATTTTGTCAGTCCCATGACACGGGGTATGCAATAGTTGTTTCGCCGGCAGGCCCTGAACTGGCTGCTGCGCTCCACGACGCAGCCGACGTGCGTGCACGACGTGATGTGGTGGTTCTGCAACGCGCTTGAGAAGTACGCCAACGCCGTGCCGCCGCCCGCCAGCGTGGACGACAACAAAGAGGCAAGTGATCGCTCATGCGTGTCAGAGAAGCATTCTGTAATACGATTTAGCTCAGTACTCCCCTCAAAATGGCAGTTGTAGAATGCGTGAACTGGTACCTAAGTAATTTCTTCAGAAATTGGTTCATGATGCTTAGAGAGGAAACAATAAACATACTAAACGTCCCCGCCGCCAGCGTGGACGACAACAAAGAGGCAAGTGATCGCTCATGCGTGTCAGAGAAGCATTCTGTAATACGATTTAGCTCAGTACTCCCCTCAAAATGGCAGTTGTAGTATGCGTGAACTGGTACCTAAGTAATTTCTTCAGAAATTGGTTCATGATGCTTAGAGAGGAAACAATAAACATACTAAACGTCCCCGCCGCCAGCGTGGACGACAACAAAGAGGCAAGTGATCGCTCATGCGCGTCAGAGAAGCATTCGATAGTACGATTTAGCTCAGTAGTCCCCTCAAAATGGCAGTTGTAGAATGCGTGAACTGGTACCTAAGTAATTTCTTCAGAAATTGGTTCATGATGCTTAGAGAGGAAATAATAAACATACTAAAAGTCCCTGCCGCTAGTTGGGGCCCCGGAGTGGGGAGAAGGGGTTAAAGTTCTCACTTTTGAGTTATTCGCTAATATCTTTTAAATTGTGCTTCGTACAGAAAAATATCTATGACGCGATGAAAGCCAATAAAATTTTCTAAATCTTTTGCCCTAAACACTTTTTTCAAATTCCTACCCGTTTTCGAACTACACGTCCGGTGAAAATTTTCAAAACTAACTCCAGCTGCTCCCTTCCCCCTTTTTGAGTGAACTACAGGTACAACACGCTAAGTTCATTGCTGGAATAGTTCTGCTGACTATATCAAATCTCTCGCTACAGGCGGCTGCCAACGAGAACACCCGCAACGTGATAAAGTTCCCGGCAGCTTCGAGCATGTGCCCGGGCGGCACTTCGGCCCGCGGCGCTCGCACGGCCTTCCACGCGCTGCTGGGCTCCGTTAGCACGCTGGCGCCTTCGCTGCCGCCCGCCAGTGCTGCCGGGCTGCAAGCCGTGCGTTGCTGGGCGCTGCACTATGCGCCCGCCGACCGCGCCTTCCTGCACAGGTGACGTAACTATTATTCTTCTTCGGTCCCTCACTGATGAGGATCACCACAGATAGTGTTCCTCCACAGACTGCGGTCATAAGCTGTATGAACCGCACGATGCAAACTTCCGCCCACCGCGTCCGACCATCTCGTCGGTGCCCCGAGCACGTCTGCCTTCCATTTGTCCCAAGATAATTTGTTTCTCCAGACAATGCCTTGGAGACCGCATAATGTGTCCGAAGAAACAGAGGGTACGCTTTAGGCATATAGTGGAGAGCAGCGTGGTGATGTTGAGCTCTTTTAATATGGACTCATTGTCGACGTCACTATTTATACACCTTCAAAAAGGCATGGCCCACAGATCACAGAAACTAAAGGTAGATGTGACAAGGGGGCGGGGCCGGTGTCGCAGCAATATGCCCAAAAACAGAACACATTGCTCGTAACAGCAATGATGACAGCAGCGACGTCATAATGTAAACAGTTTACATTGCTTGCGTAGTACTAAAGATTATTCGCACGTTGAGTACTGATACCGCAGCTGCGCAGTGGATAATGAGCGCATATTTTGATTTCTTTGCGCATTAGTTGCAATCTCTCTATATTTCTATGGCATGGCCATATGTAGAGGTAACACTGTCTCACATCAAACATCTTCACAGGTAACAAGTATCCTACAGCACAGCAATCATAAGCAAAACCTGTGTTAAACCTGTATCATAACATCAGCCCAGGATACTGTGTCGCACAACGCTACAGCTCGGATACGCTGCAGCTTCGGCTGGTCGAAGATAAGCTGTGTCTGCGATAAGCTAAGATTCGTTCGTTCGTTCGTTCGTTTCAGCCGAAAGACGTCCACTGCTGGACAAAGGCCTCCCCCAAGGATTTCCACAAAGACCGGTCCTGCGCCGCTTGCATCCAGGTACTTCCCGCGACCTTCACCAGATCGTCGGTCCACCTAGTGGGAGGCCTGCCCACGCTACGTCTTCCAGCTCGTGGTCGCCACTCAAGAACTTTTCTGCCCCAGCGGCCATCATCTCTTCGAGCTATGTGCCCCGCCCACTGCCACTTGATTTTAGCGATTCTGCGGGCTATGTCAGTCACTCTGGTTCTCCTACGGATCTCCTCATTTCTGATTCGATCACGCAGGGAAACTCCGAGCATAGCACGCTCCATCGCTCTTTGGGTGACCTTGAGCCTTCTTATGAGGCCCATAGTAAACGACCACGTCTCAGAGCCATACACCATCACTGGCAACACACACTGGTCAAATACTTTTGACTTGAGACACTGCGGTATTTCGGACGTGAGAATTTCGCGAAGCTTCCCGAACGCTGCCCAGCCGAGCTAAGATTATCTCGCTAGAATAATGCTGTTTTCTGTGTAATGCTCTCGTGATACCATACTGACAATCTTCTTAATCAAAAATATGTAATATGGTTTATTTATAATGCGACCATTGATGGTTATGTATTTTACGTTAATGCCGCTGGATAGATCGCAAGTGTTCAGTGTGATCAGCAAAGTGCTGTCTCACTCGGACGACCCGAATTTCGAGGAGGGAATGCTGGGAGCCCTACACGACAGCTTCCACAGCTATACTTACAAGGTAACGTATACGAAGATGGCCATGAAGTGCTACAAACGAGAAATTAATACGTGTGACTTTGAGAGTTACTTTTATTGTTTTGGTTTTTTGTTTTATTCTAAATTGTTTCGTTTTATTTTTAGGTGTGCTATGCAATGAGGTAGAAAGGAAAGAGCTTTTTCGTAGTACGGTCAACAGCACGTCAACGTAAACACTGTGGTATCTTACGTAGTTGCGATAGGGGCGACTTCGCAACGAAAATGTATAGCTTGATGTGCTGTCGACTGTACATTATAAGAGTTATTTCATTTTTATTTTTTTTTAGTTTTTGTTATTTTCTAGCTTAATTCTCTTATCGTAATGGTGACAAAATAAAAATAGCTAGAGAATAATACAAGATCAAGCTTGTCAATTATACACGCAGCCTGATTTTCAAAGGCATGAAAATTCAAAACATTCTTCTGGGTTCATCGCGTGATACATGCTATTTGAAACTAGCTTCTGTGTTGTTAGAACAACCACTTCAAATTAATAATAATCAACCACGCATTCTACAGGAGAATTACGTATGGAGCTGTCCCGACGTGACGAGCTGGTGTGACATTGCCGTGTCGTCACGGCAGGGAATGGCGGGAGCCCTCACAGATGGCAGCACTGAAACGTTTTGGGAGAGCGGCGATGAGGATCGCAACAAGGCTCGCTGGATCGAGATCACCTACCCTCCCGGCACCGCCGAGGACCGTCCACACATTGTTTGTGTGCATCTCGATAACACCAGGGATACTGTGGTGAGTATATCATTCGCTTTTTATTTATTTAACGGCATTCAAACCTCTTTAGGGGGTTTACATGTGCCAATAATAATGTCAAGTGGAAATTGATATAATTCGAACATTGGCAATATGGCGGTGCAAGACCAGGGCATGAGCTTCTCCTTAACTCCTAGAAGATGCAGTTTAGCTGGGTTTTAGTCAGATTTTGTCATTAGGGTGGCAGCAATTGAGTCACTGAAAACCACAAAAATATAATTTCATGATCTGATGAATTCAATTGATGTTTATTTATTTGTTTTAGAACAAGACAATGCTGGCTTCGTTCCTGTACAGCAGCGGTTCCGAGGAGCTGGTACACATGCAAGACATAGAAGTCGATCCCAAAGTAGCGACTTGGCTCTGCTATTCGTTGCCAAGTAAGTTTCATGCTTAGAATTTGAATATCACAATGAATATAAAATAGGTATTGGATTCAGGTTGTGGTCCAAATTAGTTACCTGTCTGGTAGGGTACTTTTTATGGAAATAATCCCACCACTGCATCCTTCATTCGTATAACCAGCTACAGTTTTGCTACTAATTAAACACTATCGGGAAGCTAAGTAGTCACAAAGGAAAGCTGTCTTGGCTCCCGCAATGAATCTAATTAAACGAATATAAGAGAACTTCTAAGCATAATATCGATTAAATCGATAGGGTTTTCTATTGTTCTTAGATGAGAGGGGGTGTACGAGTGTTTATAAGTATAAAGTTAATAAAACTACCAATAGACTTAGCTCGCGCAAGTGAAGTATTGCGCGGGCCCTTTATATGGTTAAATCGTTTATTTATTTATTTATTTACGGCACAATACAATTAACATAACAACATTTGTTTTGTATGAAACTGAGACTGTGTTGGGAACAATATACCGTTGTTTGCAAAGCTATCTAGCATTCTTTCGACAAGTCCATAGAAGGCGTCTTGGTCGATTCTAGTACCCAAGGCGCAGTCCACTATGCGGCAGAGGGAACACTCCAGGGTTTTAGTGAGATAGTGTCTCACATAACCTATTGCCCCTCGGCGGCAGGTACAACGGGCCATTTTCGTGTGTGGTATTGTCAATGCTGCGTTCTCCCTGCTGCCGGACTTGTGGACTCCTTTCTCCTCTTGCATCTCCGTCAGCAGAGGTACGCCGTGACGACAGAGGGCCCCCGCTGAAAATCAGTTTCAAGACAAACTCTGGCGGTCTTCATGTACGCTGAGCGGGTGCCTTTTTGTCAGAGGTGCACAAGCAGTTAATTGTCCACTTGTTTCTCTCTATTTGAATCTACACTCAACATCAAATAAACCGCACCTTCCGCGACGCGAACTTTAAAGATTTTCTTCTGACACAATCGTGGTGCCCCAACAATATTGGTGTTATTTGAAAGCCCAATAAATATCCTTACAGAAAAACACATTTAATTTTTTAATAAATGATTAATATACAGGGTGTTAGGTAAATGGGTATATGAGCCGACACTAGCCCATGTTAACATGGTCATATAAATGGTATGGTGAAGTCAGAAATTTGATATCTTCATTTTATTCTTTTTAATTTTCATACAAAATAAATTTTATAAGATCCGATTTGTATGAAAATTAAAATAATTAAAATTAAGATATCAATTTTCTGACTTCACCATACCATTTATANATAAATGGTATGGTGAAGTCAGAAATTTGATATCTTCATTTTATTCTTTTTAATTTTCATACAAAATAAATTTTATAAGATCCGATTTGTATGAAAATTAAAATAATTAAAATTAAGATATCAATTTTCTGACTTCACCATACCATTTATATGACCATGTTAACATGGGCTAGTGTCGGCTCATATACCCATTTACCTAACACCCTGTATACCATAAATGTGACTTGAAAACAGACCTCACTTTGGGCTCACCTCTGGGATCAAATAGACCAATTCTTATGGTTATAAAACCAAATAATGATCTCACGTGTCCTCTTTTACAGATGGATAACGATTAATAAAAAAAGTTTTATAGCCATAAAAGTTGGCTCAAGCGTAACTACCTATTTTTTGAAGAAGTAACTCTGGATCCTTCTACAGACACATTTTTGGGGTAAAAACCTTTCCTTTTATGAAATTAAGGTTAGAACTAGGCTTTTAGATGGTGCCAATATTGTTGGGAAGTGGGGATGCATACGTTTGAGAAGTGCTTGTTGCGGGAGGTGCGATTTATTTGATGCCGAGTGTATGTCTTGGCTGCTTGTATATCAGGGATGGCGAATCTTTATGTATCAACGTGCTACTTTTCCGAAAAAATGTTTGATAAAGTTTTAGACGTGCCATCAAATATCACCTAATGCTATCAATGAGGGGTATAGACTATACCCCTCATTGATAGCATTAGGTGATATTTGATACTATACCGTATAGTACAAGTGGTGCCACTGGCGAGTGACAGGACCTTACTCAACAGTGGCACTAACTGATGAGGGCAAATACGATAGTCCTTATATAAAACACATTATTTTATAGTGAATTTTGCAATAGGTGGGCGTGCCCTAAATATTGTGGCGCGTGCCATCAATGGCACGCGTGCCATTGGTTCGCCATCCTTTTTGTATATCTTTCTTGCAAATAAAAAGTTTTCTACAATAGTTTTGTAATGTGGTCTCCGCAGAGATGCCGAGCAGTTCCGTGCGCGTGCGCTGCGAGCTGCGCGGCGCGGAGCCGGCGGTGCGCGTGCGGCAGGTGCGCGTGCTGAGCGCGCCCGCGCCCGTGCCCGCCGCCGCCGTCGCGCCCGCGCGCGTGCTGCACGCCGTCGCCGAGGCAGACGCGCTGCGCGTGTTCAGGCTGCTCACCTCGCAGGTACTTACGTTGCCAGTGTTACCACAGAATAATAATAAGTACTACGTACAGAAGGTTTACTTCGCGAAGGTATTTAAAAAAAAATGTATGTTCAATGTCATCAACAATATGATGTAATTTAGCTTGTTTCAAGAGTCGAGCACCATTTTGTTGAAAAACGTCAGTGATCGGTACTGCGCCGAAGCCATAGGGCTGACTTCGGTAAAATGATGTGTGACGTGAGCACGTGAGGTGTCAAACTGCAGAAAATGGCGGAGGAAATACATAATTGAGCATGAATTATCATGAATAATATTAACTACTTGTTTACCTCTCAGTGTCTTGAGGCAACTTAAAAAAGTACATTCTGTGTTTTTATTATTATTTAGGCAGTTAAATACTGCATAGTATTTAGTACACCATTTTCTTTGTTTTCTTCCATCATTCACAAGAATACGCGTGCGTGAGTCAATGTTCGCTCGTATGTGAGGCCTTGTCGAATAGTAGATGGTCATCACCTGTAGGTGGGCCATCGTGTGTGTTTTGTTTTCGATGTAAACTCGCGGAGATGAACAGGCCTGGTGTTACATACCTGATGCAAAATATTGACATTAAGTATAGATCGTGTCATCCATGAAGACACCACCATTCTTCCGTTAATATTTGAGTGTTATCGGTGCACGCTTAACTATAATTTATTGCTCGGATCAAACACCACGCACCCCGCGTTTCCCTCAACCAAAAATTGGTGGGGCTCGTCTTCGTGGATGACACGATCTATAGCTTGATATAAAATGAAACGCAGTATATCGACTGCCTTCCGTAGCTCAGTTAAAAAAGTATTTTTTTTGTGTCACTTGCCAAATTATGAATCTATCATGATTCATGACCCATGTGATTTTAATCTACTATTGTAACCCTGTGTATTCTGTGTCAAAATGGTACTAAAGCCCCATTCTTCCCAGGTGTTCGGCAAGCTCCTCGAGTGGGAGCGCAGCGAGCCGGGCGAGGCGGCGGCGGCGGAGGACCCGGCCGCCAACGACAGCGACCTGCGCGAGCACGTGGTCGGCATCCTCTTCGCCGGACACAAGCTCACCTCGCTGCAGCGCCAGGCAAGTGTCGAACACTGCAGGGCACACAAATGGCACCCCTACACATGTCCCTACCAACATATCCCCACTATTAGGGATACTGTTCATTACAGCATCAGTCTCGGTTAGAGAGCCAAAAATAACTGCTGTCTTTGTTATTCTTTAAAGAAAACTATACCCATCGTAGAAGTAGGTACTCGTTGTCTAGTAGCGACATGCTGCTGATGTAGTTACCACTCACTCCACTACCACTCGCTCCGCGAGGTGACGGCGGTGGGAAGATCCATGGTGGACACACCTGCAAGGCAAGCTGCTGCAGTGAAAGCGCAGCTCCATAACCTTATACTGATCTCACGTTATAGATGCTTGATGTTAGCATATTTCCTCCTTAAGCTTCTTACGACATCCACAGGTAAAAGGAGAGATTGTCTTTACTCTACACAGAGACAAAAATGTTTATTTTTCGTTCGTTCGTTCGTTCGTTTCAGCCAAATGACGTCCACTTTATTTTTATTCAAAGGAATTATTAAAACCGTGCGATATGAACTAAATAACATCTATCAATTGTTATAGGCACGATTTTAGTACGCAATACTTTTTTCATACACTAAGGGCTGATTTTTCAATGGTCGGATAACTTTTAACTGAAGAATAAGTTTGGCACATTGATAGTTTTAGTGTGGGAAATATTCTTCAGTTAAAAGATATCTGGCGATTGAAAAATCAGCCCTTTAAACCTGTATTCATCCTATAAATATTCATACAAAATAATAAGCTTGCAATTTCTGATGAACTCGTTTGTTGTTCAGTAATTCTCAGACATCACAACATGGTTTACATTTACATAAATTATCTCATATGGCAAAAACAATTTGAATCTTCAATGACTTATGAATAGAAATTCGTTAAAGCGCTTGGAATTTATTAGCGATGTTAGAATTTGTTTAAAGGGCAGGCCAAGGGTGTCGAAGGGTGCGGTTGTTGCCCTGAACAGAGCTGTGACCTCGCCTGAAAATGCGTGGGCGAAGCTTACCGACTGCAAACGAACAAATTGGATTGTTCCTTTTAAACATTTCAAAACACATATGAATATGGTGTATAAGTTTATTGACATTTAGCCATAATAAAATTACTAGCAATCTTATCATATAACAAAGATTTTTATGTTGTTTTTTAATGTTCGATATTGCGATAAATTCACACGTAACTTGCTCAGGGATAACGTGACTGATCATCATTATGCTAGCTACATGTTCCCATATTGATTGTCAATAGAGACTTGCTGAACCAACTGACATTGAATCCATTTTCAACCGACTTCAAAAAAAGGAGGAGGTTCTCGTATGTTTTTTTTTCTATGTTTGTTACGCGATAACTCCGCCAATTATGAACCGATTTGAACAAATCTTTTTTCGGCGTATAGGTAATACCTCAAGGGTGGTCCCATTTAAATTTAATAATAGAAAAAACAACCCCCAAGGGTGGAAAATTGGGGATGAACTTTTTTATACGCAATATCTCCGCCGATTATAAATCAATTTGAACGATTATTTTTTTGTTGAATAGGTATTATCAAAAGGGTGGTTTCATGCGAATTTGAAGAAAATATTTCACCCCCAAGGGTGGAAAATTGGGGATGAACTTTTTTATACGCAATATTTTTAATTTTTAGTATTTTTTTTTGTGTTCACGCATATGAAGTCGGTTTTATTTTTTTTAAAAGGTTAATTATGTGGTACCCAGGTGATGTCGCACATAGTAACCGCCATCGGCTACGAAGCGGCCCGCGTGCGTGACGACTGGGAGACGGCGCTGCTATGCGCAGAGGCGGCCGAGCGCTCCGGTGATGAGATCACGCACAGGGCCATCCCTCAACCTACTGTGGATAACTACTGCTTCGAAATGCTGGCTCTGGTAAGTGACAGGTTCACCCTGTGCCTCGGCTAACGTTTTGAAGTAGATTGCCACCCAATACTAAACAAAAAGTTTTCAGACTTATTTATTGACTAGTGGCCGCCCACGACTTTTACCGATCGTTTTACCCCCTTAGGGGTGGAGTTTCGTAAAATGCTTTCTTAGCTAATGCCTACGTCATATTAACATCTACCTGCATGCCAAATTTCAGCCTGATCCGTCCAATGATTTGGGCTGTGCGTTGATAGATCACTATGTCAGTCAGTCAGTCACCTTAGAGTTATATATATTTAGATTTATATTGTTGGACAATTTAAAAAAGAAGGTTTTTCGTTAAAAAATAGTTATTACTTACTTATGCTAATTTTCGTTGAAGATTCCATAGAGTTCCGACTGAAGCTTTCTGAAATAATATTGTTCAGAATATTTGTCAATTTGCCAGTACCTGCAACCTTGGGTCTTATTGCGTGTGACGAAAGTGTTCGTTTCCAGCTGTTGGCTCTAAGCGGTAGTGCTGTGGGGTGCGCGCACCTGGCCCAGCGCACGGAACTGTTGGCGGACCTGCTAGCGCTGCTGCACACTGGCAGTGAGCGCGTGCAACGGCAGGTAAGCATTCCCCCTCCCTCCTCATTTCACCCCGCTCAAATGAACAAGCACAATGTGATGATAAAAATTATACGTTTTGTAATTCGGCTTTTCATTTTACTTTACTGTAGATAAAGGTCTGTCTGTATTTTCTTGAATAAGTAAGATTGTGTTACATAACAATTTTGGTTTCAGGTTATTTCATTACTCCGAAGAATGATATCAGAAATCAAGCCACAGAAAGCGCTTGTGGCCATCAACTATGGAAATGATTTGAGCACTCGGTAAGTTTTTAATTCAGACGATCACAACACTAATTTACCATCTATGTATGGTTGTTTTACTTGCCTACTTCCATTTAGTAGAAGTTATTTACAAATTGGAGCCAGTGGCGGCGTAGCATAGGTTGGTCCGGGGTGATACATAAGTAAGTTAGGTATACATATAGCGGGGGTTAGGGCACCTCCGAATGGTCTCGTGCCCCCCAGGATTTTTGGGTTATCGACAGATGGATGTCAGTAAGTAACTAAGTCATGAGCTATATGATACCCCGTATCATGACATATCAGATACGCCCGCGCCGTCCTTGTCGTGTCCCAGATGCGCCAGTGGGTACTAATCTGCGCGACCTGACCTGATGTTGGCAACCGGGGCAGACCACCCATTACGCCGTTACTGATTGGAGCTGTACCGATAAAAAATCCAATCAGCTTGGATAAACATTTCTGTATGATCCATCAGTGGCTACCGCATATTCGATGTTTCTGCCTTTTTTCGCAGCGTGACGTTACTGGACTACCTGCTGAGCTACCTCGGCAAAGCCATCACGGTGCAGATGAAGGTGAAGGGCGCCAGTGGGTCCAGCCCGGCCACGGTCACCATGGGCTCCAGCGTCGCGTCCACGCCGCCCTCCACCTGGTTCCTGCGCGGAGAGACCTCCAAGAAGCACGCGCACCTGGTCGCCAAGCTGCTGGCTGATATGGCCGAGGTATGTTGGAACGTTCTAGATTTTCTCGATCTTTTTACCTGTCACTTTGAAGAAAAACTAAAAGTGTTATTCGTACGTAGTCCGACGCCGGCCTATTAATGCACGCTAAGACACGCCCGCAGTGTGCGCCCGCCTCTCGCCCTGCGTATGGAACAGGTTTCGCCACATTTTGCTGCGCATACTTTTTACCGTAAAACCGTTCGCACTTTGTTCGAGTACAGTTTCCAAAGTAATAAGATTAGTGATTTTTTTTGTTTAAACTCGACTAAACTGCCCTGTTCGGGCTCGTTTAGGCGGTGAGCGAGCGAGTGAGAACGCGCGGTGGGGAGTGCTACTCGCCTGATAATAGAAAGGGATTGTTTTTTGTCCGGACACGTTTAGCTACTTAACCAGAAGCTTCCAATCGAGTGAGACCCGCTCGTTTAACATTGACTATGGAGGTCTCACTCACTGTGATGTGAGTGACGATGACACTGTGGAATATGATGCTCAACCACACTAAGGAAGCTAAGGTGTTAGTGCTTCCTTCCGAGCGGGTGTTGTGCTCGGGGACCAAGGTCCGATTTACACCATCTTGGTTTGTCTATATACAGTGTGTCCGGGCATGTAGTGATCAAACTTTAAAGGCGTAATCTATGAACAATTTTATCGATAAAAATACTTCAATACATGTCGCACGCGACATGCGAAAATGCACTGCCTGAAAGAATCACACAACCTATTCCGATTACTATGGAAACCGCTGGGAAGGGGTATCTTTGTTCAATAATTACGTCAAAACTAATAGACGTAGACTTATAAATTTACATTCGTTTTGTAGAATAGCTCAAATACTAAAAATACAATGCAAATAAAACATACCTTAACGACCTGGTTTTTCTTGTGTTGGAAAATAACTGAAAAAGAAGTGAAAAAAGTAATGTATTTTTCTAATTAAATCCATTCTTACTCCCATAAAATGTATGAAATTTGTGTCTGTTTTCTTCTTCTACTAATAGATAATTTTATTGGCTATCGCATGATATAAAATATTTGCCTACTAATGTTAAGCTACCCACGCTTTCACTTGTTTTTTAAAGAAGAGGTGTAAACTAAAAATTAAAAACTTAAATCGATGTAATTTTTCGAGAAATGGGTCAGGCCCCAAATTTGAAGTATTTTTATCGATAAAATTGTCCCTAGAATTTGCCCTTAAAGTTTGATCACTACAAGCCCGGACACACTGTATACTTGGCAGGATATAAAACTCCGTCACCGCGATGCAGGTTTGTATGAGCGGCGGAGTGTGCCATAGTGTAGTAGTGACAGCGCCATCTGTTGGTACACAGTTTGTAGTGGCGTATCGTCGATGTCGCCACACCACCATACATTTTATTTGTTGCTGCAGGACAAAATATCAGCCGACTGGGGCCAGGAGACGCGCACCGCGCTTGCCAACTACGTGGGCGCGATCGCGCAGATCGCCGAGAGCGAGCGGCGGCCGGCGCGCTGCGTGTCCTCGCCCGCCATGTGGATGGCTCTCGCCGCGCTCTGCGTGTGCGAGCAGCCGCACATCGACCTGTGAGTACTAACAGGCCTGTTCATCTCCGCGAGTTTACATCGAAAACAAAACACGCACGATTGCCCCCTACAAGAGTACTATTCGACAAGGCCTCACATACGAGCGAACATTGACTCACGCACGCGTATTCTTGTGTATGATGGAAGAAAATAAAGAAAATGGTGAGTTAAATACTGTGCTGTATTTAACTGCCTAAATAATAATAAAAACACAGAATGTACTTTTTTAAGTTGCCTCAAGACACTGAGAGGTAAATAAGTAGTTAATATTATTCATGATAATTCATGCTAAATCGTGTATTTCCTCCGCCATTTTGTGCAGATTGGCACCTCACGTCACATCATTTTACCGAAGTCAGCCCTATAGCTTCGGCGCAGTACCGATCACTGACGTTTATCAACAAAACTTCTGACAAACTTGCTTGACTTTTGAGACAAGCTAAATTACACCATATTGTTAATGACATTGAGCATACATTTTTTTAAATACCTTCGCGAAGTAAAACTTCTGTACGTAGCAATTATTATTATTCTGTGGTACTAAGAGCGCTTTCACATATAGACGTTTTTGTCGCGCTGCACAGTGAATCTCTTCACACTTCGGGGGCTGTAGCGCGGCTAAATCGCGATGCCGTTGCTAGCGACAGCCGCGCTTCACAGTCGCGCTACAGATACGCGTTGAACTTGGGGTGGAATAAAGGTGATAAAAAATATGAAACAGAATTACACCAAGTAGGTACAACTGATGGCACGGGATTACGCGGCGTATACTGCCACCGCTAGACTGAAGCGCCGCAGTTGCGCTACATTAGTATGTATAGATACAAGTCGCGCCACTGTAGCGCGACAAAAGCGCTCTAATACTATTGCTTCGCAATATTCACACTTATTACCTACTGGTTAAGGTGGTAGATCTTGGAATCATTTTGTGCTGTTTAGAAACTGACGCAAAATTTTGCTTGAATTATTTAGGACTAACGTGACTTTGTGCGGTGTAGACCAGGCATTAATAAGGCGTCATTTGACAGAAGTTGACGAAGTGGGTAGTATAAAGAACGTGGTGCACTATCTACAACATAATGTTGACCTTTCTTCTTGAGTGATTTTTAGTACTCAGTGTACTTTACAACACGTCTTCTGCCCTTCCAATTCCGTGCAAAGACTATTTACTACTCTGTTCGCCTTCACTGATGTAGAGCAGCCTCATGCGGTTTGATTAATCCTTCAAGGCCCGCGAATCTAGACACAATAGATAATCAATTGTTATGGCATTAATGTATGCCGTCTGACTTTAAAGGTTAAGCAGCTTTGTAACTTGTATGGTCTGACTGATAAGTTCTTTGACTTTGCTTCATTAAACACTTACTTGCAGGATCAACGGCACAGAAGGTCGCGAGTCGCGTCGCGAGCCGGAGGCCCGGCCGTTCTGCTCGAACCACGACGACGGCGCCACCGTAGCGGTGGTGGAGTGCCGCACATGCGGCCCGCTGTGCGGCGAGTGCGACCGCTTCCTGCATCTCAACCGCGCCGCTCGCACGCATCAACGCCAGGCAAGTACACTAGCAGTTGCCCCCTTAATTGATATTTATTGTCCGTGGTGCATAATCTTTTCTTAAAGGTTTTAAACCTTTGTTTGTCACCTGTCATCCGCTTTGCAATGGAGGGAAGTCGAACCTTAATTTCGAACTCCTCTTATGTTCTTCTGATTAATTTCGTTGCGGGTCCAATGACAGTTTAACTTTCCCCCGGGACAAACTTTACCTTCATTGGTTGGGTTTTTATGGCGGTCAAACTGTAGATCCTGGATACACAAGAGTTGCAGTGGTGGGAACGAGAGGTGGGAATAGGCCCGTATAGCAGTTGCAGGTCCCATCTACTGTGTGACGCAAGAATGTAATGGTTAAGGATCACACATAAAAACTCGGAAAGGGATTGTCTCCGTATCGACTCGAGACTTTCAGTATTCTGCCTATGAAACTTCCTACTGCAACGCACACTAATCAGAGTCGTAACGTTATTGTATCACGTCGATACAAGCTCACGAACCACGGTGCATTAGTGGTCAACTTGTTTACGGCATGTCATCCGCGGGGTTATGGGTCTTCGTTCAGATCATATACAAACTCAATTCATATTTTACTTACTATCGGCCACAGTGTTAACTACCTATTCCCGGTCATGTCGTCTCATTCTATCGCAAAGGATCACCATTTGATGAGAGCGAGAGCAAAAACGAAAATTGATAGTTAACACTGTGGCCGATAGTACATCTGCAAAGAGGAGGTCTCCTTCAGCAGGACGAACATAACAATAAAAAAAAGTCAGAAAATATCGCAGCTAGTGTTCTAAACCACAATTTTATTTGTAGATCTGCAAAGAGGAGGAGAGTGCTATCCGTGTGGACATCCATGAGGGCTGCGGACGCGCGAAACTGTTCTGGCTACTGCTGCTGGTTGACCGGCGCACGCTGAAGGCGCTGGCAGAGTTCCGCGGCATGGACGCGGCTGAAGGCGACGAACTCGGCTACGCGGGCACTTGTCGCTTCTGCGGCGCTCGTGGCAGCACTGGCTTGCTGGCTATTGGGAATGTATGCGCTGATCAGCAGTGCCAGGTACTTCACTACTCATTACTTATACTCTCTTAAGCTGATGAGGTTGAGTCAGAATTCCGCGGCATGGACGCGGCCGAGGGTAACGAACTTGGCTACGCGGGCACCTGTCGCTTCTATGGAGCTCGTGGCAGCACTGGCTTGCTGGCTATTGGGAACGTGTGCGCTGATCAGCAGTGCCAGGTACGTCACTACTCCTAGATGTCGCCCACGACGAGCTTTGCTACGCGGGCACCTGTCACTTCTGCGGAGCTCGTCGCAGCACTGGCTTGCTGGCCGCCCTATAGATAATCTCGAAAGCCGATGAAGTTAGACAGAGTTCCGCATGGACGCGGTTGATGGCGACGAACTCAGCTACGCGGGCACGTGCCGCTTCTGCGGCGCTCGCGGCAACACTGGCTTGCTGGCTATTGGGAAAGTTTGCGCTGATCAGCAGTGCCAGGTACGTCACTACACATTACTGGCCGCCCTATACAGGGTGAAACGATAAATGATCTCGGTCGGTCCACCTAGTGGGAGGCCTGCCCACACTACTTCTGGCTCGTGGTCGCCACTCGAAAATTGTTCTGCCCCAGCGGCCATCGCTCTACGAGTTATGTGCCCCGCCCACTGCCACGTGCCCAAAGTGGCCAGTGGGAAAGAGGGGCCTCATACAACCTGTCCCGCAGGAGCACGGTCGCGAGGCGTGCAACCGCGTGTTAAACTGCGGGCACATGTGCGGCGGCGTGCGCTGCTAGCTGCTGTACCTGCCGTGTCTTTCCGATTTTTGTCCAATTCTAAACCAGTCTATTCGAAGGCTAAGATTCCCTTTGCTGTACCATACATCCTAGGGCCGTCTTTAACCTACTAGGGGCCCTGAGCACTTAAGGATCAAAGGGGTCATCAAGATCAACCCTTATCATTTGGAAAAAGGTCTTTTGAGCAGATGGGGGTCCCCTCGGTCGTGGGGCCCTGAGCATGTGCCCATAGTTCGATCGTTCGTTCGTTTCAGTCGAAAGACGTCCATCATCATCATCATCATCATCATTTCAGCCACAGGACGTCCACTGCTGAATATAGGCCTTCCCCAATGCTTTCCACGTTGATCGATTGGTAGCGGCCTGCGTCCAGCGCTTCCCTGCTACCTCTACGATGTCGTCGGTCCACCTTGTAAATGGACGTCCAACGTTGCGTTTTCCGGTACGCGGCCTCCATTCCAGAAACTTGCTGCCCCATCGGCCGTCAGTTCTGCGTACTATATGCCCTGCCCTGCGAAAGACGTCCACTGATACACAAAAGCCTGATACGACCTGTCCCGCAGGAGCACGGGCGCGAGGCGTGCAACCGCGTGTTAAACTGCGGTCACATGTGCGGCGGCGTGCGCTGCGAGCCGCTGTGCCTGCCGTGCCTGGCGGGCTGCGGCGCCGGCCGCTGCACCGAGAACGCGCCGCTGCGCCAGGACGCCGACGACATGTGCATGATCTGCTTCACCGAGCCGCTGCAGGCCGCGCCCGCCATACAGGTATGCACTAAGGCCTGGTCCGTGAGCACGTAGAATTTTGTCCCATGACCCCAAGCTACCCATCCTTATCGCTCGCGCGTAAATATGTTGCTGTCGCGCTCGCACACTCACTGCGGGCGCCCGTCGCACAGTCGCGACAGCAATTTAATTACGCGCGAGCGATAAGGATGCGTAGCTTAGGGTCATTGGACAAAATTCTACGTGCTCACGGACCAGGCTTTAGCCATAGCACTCACTCGCAATGTATATTTTATGAAGTATAGGTTAGCGTCCGTGACTCCCACTCGGCATGGGGAAAACTGAAAACTAGCGTCGTGGCCTTCCTCACTGTGGGCCTCGGCATATGCTGAGTGGGGTCTCATTGCGATTGGCATCGCTATGCGACAGGGTGGCACTGCTCACTTTACTTTCTTTTTAGGATTAGTAGTAGTTTCGCACGATTTTCCTTCGCACGAATTATTGAAAGGGGATGTTTCGCACATTCGTGCGAAGGAAAATCGTGCGAAACTACTACTAACCCTCCATGTATGTTTTTTAAATAAATAAACAAAAATCCTTTATTGCTTTACAAATGTGATAAGTGTTCCTCTGACTTGTTTGTTTTTTTTTTATTTACCTGTTTTGTCTTTTGTGATATCCATTACAATAAATGATTCTTTCTTTCTTTCAATGGTGTTCAACCCTAGCATCGAATCTAATCGAAACTGTTGACCAATAAAATCCGAAGCATTGCTCTAAAATAAGACACGTCAATCTTTTGAAGAGTCAGGCCAAACGGTGGATTCAGTCTTTAACTACATGCCACTTACGTTTCCTGGATTTGAGCAGCCTTGCTCTAAAATGACTTCATTAAAACCTTAAAAATTTGCCATTCGAATGAGTTAGCAAACGTCACTTACTTCATTGGTCTTTATGATATAAAACTTCTTTTTTACAATGGCGAAAATTTCAGTTAGTTTCTTAAATAACATGTCCATGCGTTAGTTCAGAAAAGAAGCGGTTGGTTGATACTTAGGAATCCACTAATCTTAACAAAATATTTATAAAATCGTGTAAAACTTAAATAACTCGTTCTTTCTGTTTAACAGCTGAAATGCGGGCACGTGTTCCATCTGCACTGCTGCAAGAAGGTCCTGAACAGCAAATGGATTGGTCCGCGAATCACATTCTCTTTCGCACAATGCCCCATCTGCAAGGTAAAACAATTCGGTATTATATTTGGTACCTACGAAGCTAAAATCGCGGCCCTTATTAAAAGTCACCATGCTTTTTATGAGTAAGAAGAATGAATTTATTGATTTGCATTACTGCTGTCAAGTTGAACTGAATTTCGACAAACGTACGCTCTTGTCAGAGAGAGTAGCGTAGTGGTGTCTGAGTCACGTCGATGTCAAATGGTCTCAGAGTAACGTATGTCATAGTGTCTGTGTAATATGTTTGAAATACCTACAACATACCTACCTTCTTGTTTTAAACTTTCATGGTCACTATCAATTATTATTACTAACCATAAAATCTCACCCGCAAGTTTACTTAGTTTACTCCGTGACCATGGCGCTTGCAACAGTGCCGAAATATCGGAAACTCAAAATTAAGGTACAGACAGGCACGTCAACGTAACCACTATGGGTTCTTGTACAGTTGTAATAGGGGCGAGTTTGCAACAAAAAATGGGTAACCTGATGTGCTGTCGTGTGTACATGGTAGCAATAATAATAATGAACATACCTTGTTTGTTCCCACAGGAGGACATGGACCACTGGACCCTCGAAGACCTGCTGGACCCGATCCGGCGGCTGCAGGACGAGGTGCGGCGCAAGGCGCTGATGCGGCTGGAGTACGAGGGCGCGGCCGTGCCGGGTGCGGCGCGAGGCCGGCCCGTTCTGGACCCCGCTGAATACGCTATGGAGCGCTACGCCTACTACGTGTGCCATAAGTGCGAGCGGGTGAGTTGCTCCGATAGTTCTCTCTCATTCGCCCTCTCTTTCCCTCTCTCTTATTTATTTATTTTATCTACTATATAAAAATAAGTCGGGTTTTCCTTCCTGACGCTATTACTCCAGAACGCACGAACCGATTTCTACGGTTTTGCATTCGTTGGAAAGGTCTCGGGCTCCGTGAGGTTTATAGCCGCGCGATAAAGCTTTTCTGTGACATACAAAATTGCACGCGGGTGAAGCTGCGGGCGAAAAGCTAGTTAGGTATACAAAACAGGACAATATCGTAACAAGCAATACAATGAAGATATGAATACCTACTTATACTGTCTCTCTCACTCTCAATTTGTCTCGATTCCTCTTACCCTATCGCCATATCTCTATCTCCAATCTTTCACTTTCCCTATTTCCTCTTCATTCTTATCCTATCTGTTGCTCACTCTCTTTCTATCTATCCTCATTCCGCCCTCGCTATATTTCTATCCACCCACTCTCTCCTTTTCTCTCCCTACGGGCCTATCTTCACTTAGATGGACTGGAAATGCCAGTGGTAGTAAAATTTATATGACACTGTTCACCGTGTTGTATCTATTATTTTTGTATGAGGCTTTATTGAGTGTTGGTTGTATCCTTGTGCGTAGGCGTATTTCGGCGGGTTAGTGTATTGGTGTTATGTATATTTTTATGGAGATCGAATGTTGTTGTTATTGGCACTTTGCATGGATGAACCAAGATCCCTGGGCCAGGAGTGGGGACCCCGCAACAACACCCGCGGCAGGGGAAGACCGCCTAAACGGTGGACAGACGACATCCGGCATCAGGCTGGAGTGAAGTGGATGCGAATTGCGAGTGGCTAGGGACAGAAGTCGGTAGAGGGTTGAAGAGGAGGCCTATGTTCGAAGGCGAACCCCCTAAAGACTGATTAGATATATTGATAGAATGTTGTTGTATGTTTATTCAGGCATACTTCGGCGGGCTGGCGCGCTGCGAGGCGGAGACGAGCGGCTGGTGGGAGCCGTCGGAGCTGGTGTGTGGCGCGTGCAGCGACGTCGCCGGCGCGCGCACCTGCCCCAAGCACGGCGCCGACTTCCTCGAGTACAAGTGCCGCTACTGCTGCTCGGTCAGTACATTTTCGTTTCAGCCAAATGACGTCCACTGCTGGACAAAGGCCTCCCCCAAGGTTTTCCACAATGAACGGTCCTGCGCTGTCCACATCCAGGCTCTTCCCGCGACCTTTACCAGATCGTCGGTCCACCTAGTAGGAGGCCTGCCCACGCTACGTCTTCCAGCCCGTGGTCGCCACTCGAGAACTTTCCTGCCCCAACGGCCATCGTACATTAACTCTCAAGCTAATGCTAGAGAAGGTTCAGAAGGCCTTTTTACGATATTAAGAGAACTTTTGGATATTATCCATTTTTATATCCTACGAAGTTTTTACTTGGTATGCTGGGCATGTGCTCATTGGAGGTTAGGCGTCAAAAAGACCAGATGATCACGGCATTAAAAATACTGCGTGGCCATACTCAATGTCCCGAGCTCCTAGAACAATTATCGTGTTTATTCGTGCCCAATAATTACACCAGGCATCGCGCCTGTCGTCGGCACAAGCTGTTCGCCCGGCCACCAAGCCGCACGGTAGCGCACGCTGAGTCCCCACTCTGCCGAATGCACACCGCCCTCGATGCACTCCTGGATGACTACCCTCATCGTGACATTTTTGCGGACCCTTGGTATAAAATATTGTCAACTTGCCAATCCTTTTGTGAACAGTGTTCTCTTTAGTCTTTAAGATGTTGTTATTGTTTGTTGTTACCTAACTATTTAATTACGTAATAAGGTATAAGCCTGTTTAATTAAAATAAATTAATAAATTAAGGCCCAGAACAGACGGTGAAACGCAACTGCAACGAAACTGCAACTTTCTAATGATTCTTATGAATGAAACTGAAACTGAAAGTTTCAAACAAAGTCAAAGTCAAAATTTCTTTATTTGTTTGGACTAATAAATAGTTCTTACAAATCGTCATTTTGCTCTTAAGGAGCCTCTACATGTCTCATATTCTTTTTACCCTACCAGCGCTTCGAGACCAACATTTGGCAAGTGCTGAGAAGAAGCGCCGCAACAAACTCAGTCACCACTGTCTGCCGGTTAATATAAATAAATAGAAATAGTAGTAGTAGGTACATTCGATTCAGGAGCAGTTCACTGAATTTACCATGCATTCTTGTATGGTGTATCTTATAAGAATGGGTATACAAGATTGCGTGGTATATTAAACAAGGTAGTGACGTGCTAATTTCTAGACTTACATATTAAGATACTAGTAGAAATGACTCGCATACATAAATTACAGAATGTTAGCTACATAAATGGAAAATGCTCAGCTTAAAATACGAAACTGTATTCAGATCACATAAAAAGCACAAAAAAAAAGCAACAGAATTTTTATCCAAAAAAACAAGATGGCTAACACCGTTGCTAGGCTGCGGTACAGAATGTTAGCTACATAAATGGAAAATGCTCAGCTTAAAATACGAAACTGTATTCAGATCACATAAAAAGCACAAAAGGCAAAGCAACAGAATTTTATCCAAAAACAAGATGGCTAACACCGTTGCTAGGCTGCAGTCCATAGACCACAGCCTAGCACCGGTGTTACCAGATCTGTCGCCAACAATTAGCTTTTTTTTAAATCGAATTCGAACTTTAATTTTTTTATCGTGGTTTGTACTTTTGTTGAACTTTGGCGGCTCGTGGCTAGTTATTCAATCATTATCTGGATCTGAAATTTATTTTATTTAACTAAAGGCTTATTCGAAATTAGTATCAAATAAAAAAATTAAGCAGTTTTTAGGTAAAATTTCGGAAAAATCTGAAAAAAGTATAAAAATTGTCATTTATCTCATAAACTATAGAAAGTAAGGTTCAATAATTAGCAAATGACCTCCTCTATACGCGTATTAGCTATGGCGGATTCAGTTCCAGTCACCCTGTATAACCATCAAATATTTTACAAAATCTTTTCCCTTTCCCTTTATTACATTTCTGTAACATAAAACACGGGATATGTTATTAAGAACTCAATATTCGGTATCCGCGAGACATCGTTGAGTAAACATTAACGTAGAATATAATATGCATGAGCTGTTCTGTCGAACTTTTATATTATGCGTACGTGTGATATACATTTTGATAAGATCTTTTCTAGTTCATATCATCAACTCAAAGGTATCTAGATTCGGATTGGTAATCGTAGATTATTTTCTGTAGTCATTCATTAGTAATGAAGATCCTTAAACAAGGTTAATAAAAACCATAATAATGGCGAAATATACACGCTCATAAAAAATGAGGTTTCCGCTGACTGGGACCGCAATTAACTAGGACCGCGGTCCCAATTGCCGGATCCGTAAAATTTAAATAATTTTCTTCCGGCGACTGGGACCACTCATTAATTTTATTACTTTACTGATTTTGGCTTGAAATATGGAAGAAAAATATTTAATTTTTATGGATCCAGCGACTGGGCCCGCGGTCCCAGTAGACGGAATCCTCAAAAAAATAACTCTTAATTCCCCTTTCAACGACGACTCGAATAAAAAAGCTCTAAAAAGTGTATTCATTTCATAAAATACCTCTAATCACCATTAAATTGTCTATTCTAGTGCAGTCAATCCCGCATAGTTCATATACACAAACTCAATTACGGCGTACAACCATAATGGCGCCCCGAGGACACGTTGACGGTAACATAATCAGAATTGGGGGGGACATTAAATGTCCATTAATATAATGCACACGACATGTTTTTGCTGACGTCATAACTTAAAGTTAGGGGGCGGTTTTAACGGCACAGTTATGAAGCGATGCTTGAAATATCGTGTGCGATAAATTGAAATGGAATGCGAGAGACATGATTATGAAATACTTACATAACAGGGCCTTCTTTTACTTATGAATGGTGGCCAAGATATGCCAAAAAATTAACCAATGATAAGCCTCTATTCTATCTCAAACTAATTTTAACCTTAAAAAAATCGACTGCCTTGATAGCCCTGGAACATTCTTTCGTCGGGCTACTTATAATAACTAGAACATTTTATTCATAAATCCTTAACAACCAAAGGACCTTTTGGCTCTTAGAATTTTTAATCTAGCATCGACTTTTTTAACCATAATCCTAAAGTAAACCAAAGCCACATTAAACAGTTTTTAGTTCACTTACATAATAAATTATAGATCCAGTAGATTGTCAGCCTAACTATGTTTTAAGCTTGTAAAAGTAGGGGCGGGCTCATGTGGGACGTTTTTAGTAGCAACCTCTATTAAAGGGCCTCACTAAAGTTTCACCAGGTTTTTTATGTAGCTCTAAATGCGTTGTCTAAGTGGGGAAAAGTTTCAGGATTTGCTAGTTTTAACTAAATGGCTTACGGGAACAGGCATTAGTTTAAAACTCTGGAACGATTTCGATTTTGTACCATTTTGTGTTTAGTGTGCGAGGATTTTAGGACGCTTTTAGAGCAGGAGTTTTATAGCTCAGTTTTACGGTCTTTGTAAATAAATAATGTGTGCTAAAGGCTGGAGTAATAAATAATGACATTAGAATTAAAATACCAAAAAATATGATTAGAGAACAGTACCTACCTAAGTAATGTACCACCTACCTAATAGAAATATGTAGAATTAACCTACAAAATCACATTAATGTTCTTGGTTTNGTCGATGCGTCGCGGGGCGCGTCACAAAGGAAAAATTAAAAAATCCGCAAGAAAACCAAAATCACCAACACCCCGCAGAATCGTTTTTAAGTGGCAGTGGGAGAGGCACATATCTCGTGGAACTGATATCTGTTGGTGCAGAATAGGGATGTTATGGATTTGTAGTTTCGGTTATGAATACGGTTACGGATATAGGGATAATATATACCGGTTACGGTTACGGATAGTTTTTTATTTCGGATATCCGAAAGTTTCGGTTAAGGTTACGGATATCTATAACATCCCTGGTGCAGAACATTTTTCTAGTGGTAGACATAGTCTGGGAGACGTTGTGTGAGCAGACCTCCCACTAGGTGGACTGACGATCTTGTGGAAGGTGACGGGAAGTATCTAGTTGAGAGCAGCGCAGGACTTGTCGTTGTGGAAATCCTCCAGCAGTAGACACGCACACCGTGGGCGCTCGTGACTTGTACCAGGCCTGTTCATCTCCGCGAGTTTACATCGAAAACAAAACACGCACGATGGCCCACCTACAGGAGTACTATTCGATAAGGCCTAAGCGTGAGTCAATGTTTGCTCGTAATGCGTGCTCGAATGATGGAAAAAAAAAGACAATGGTGTACTAAATACTATGCAGTATTTAACTGCCTAAATAATAATAAAAACAGAATGTACTTTTTTAAGTTGCCTGAAGACACTCCTCTCATCAATAAGTAGTTAATATTATTCATGATAATTCATGCAAAATCATGTATCCTCCGCCATTGTCTGCAGTTTGGCATCTCACGTCACAACATTTTACCGAAGTCAGCCCTATAGCTTCGGCGTAGTACCGATCACTGACGTTTGTCAACAAAATGGTGCTTGACTCTTGAGACAAGCTAAATTACACCACATTGTTAATGAAATTTAGCATACATTTTTTAAATACATTCGCGAAGTAAAACTTCTGTACGTAGTACTTATTATTATTCTGTGCTGGTTCTAGCGGTGGCCGCCGCGGAGCGCAAGGCATTAGCCATCCAAATCAAGCACATATGCTCAGAGCACCTGCGCAAATCTTTGCGTAAGCCCTAATAACCAAACCAAATGAATCAATAAGTGGTATATCGTTTCAGGTGGCGGTGTTCTTCTGCTTCGGGACGTCGCACTTCTGCAACGCCTGCCACGACGACTTCCAGCGCGTCACCAACATCCCCAAGAACTCTTTGCCGCAATGCCCGGCGGGTAAGTGAATTATTTCATGTTCTTAAAAAAAATATGCTTTAGGGCGGTAGTACCGAAAGGGGTCACAATAAATTAATGTAATCTATGTACTTATTACATTTGAAAATGTTTGCCATTTTTGCTATGTTCTTGAAATATGACTCATTTCAAGCACACTAGTCGTACTCGTACAGCAAAAATGACGCAGACGTCCATTTTTAGACAGGCAAATTGTAATCTTTCCTCTTAAATTCCAGAATGAGTAAGCTTAGAATTAGGAGTATCCATCAGCCATAATGTTTATACCGGGCAAACTTGACCTTCAATAGTTGGGTTTTTATTTGCGGTCAAGCTGTAAATCCTGGCTACACAGGAGTGGCGGTGGTGGGAATAGTCCCGATTAGCTATATTATGCAAAACAAGTAATGAAAGAATCATTTACAAGGCAGGAGTATCACAAATGGCTACTATTCCGCAGGCCCCAAAGGCGAGCAGCTGCCCGGCTCCTCCGAGGAGTGTCCTCTGCACGTGCAGCACCCGGCTACGGGCGAGGAGTTTGCGCTCGGCTGCGGCATATGCCGGCACTCGCAGGGCTTCTAAACCCGAGGGCCGCGACGCCCGGCCGGGCAAACCAGGCGCACTGCAGTCTTGCACTCGCTTATAACAGCCTGGCTGGGCTAGTGCTGGTTGGTGTTTTCTGTTCCACTTTGTCGTATAATTTTGAATTAATTTAAATTTAAACACGTAGGAGTAGTGGCAATAAGTCTATAACAGATTATTTATGATGATTCACACTAATTTGCAATGTATGTATTTCCTGTTTAAAATTACATGATTACATTTGCTTCGATTATGAATGTTAATCCTAATTTGTGTTAATATATAAAATTGGTATGTATGCGCATACAGACCACATGGACGTACTATAAAAATATTCCAAATATGACAAAGACTCGAGTCTGGTGGCACTAATGTATTGTGCCATAGGGCAGCGACGTTATACAAACCTAAGACCCCTACACGTCCACATGGACGTCCTAAAAACATTCCAATATGACAAAAACTCGATTTTGACACGAGTCTGGTGGCACTAATGTATTGTGCCATAGGACAACGACCCCTAAAATACCCCTACACGCCCACATGTGCGTAAAACATCCCAAATATGACATATATTCCCCATTTTGTCATGTACCACAGGGTATACAAATCTAAAAGACCCTTACCTTCACGTCCACTTGGACGTACCTACTAGAAATAACATTCCAAACATGACACATACTTCCGATTTGAGATTCCAAAACAAAATACATTAACATTACGAATTAAAAAGGTTATAAAAAAGAGTATTATTTATCGAAATGTCTCATACTACGTCACGCGTGCTGCTTTAACGATTTTTTACACCATAAGTACTTCTAAATCCTCATTATTTCGACTAAAGATGCCTATCATGATCTTTTGGCTTGCAAACTAGTTTGTAGCCCGAATAACCTCAGATGAGTTGTAAACATCATGATGAGACCTAACGACAACATGCGTTATTGAAGTTACATTTCTGTGGCGCTTGTGTCACTGCGTCGATCAGTCGAATGCAACAAACGAACGAGTCACTCTGCAATAACAACACAGATCAACAACAACGTAATATGACTCTGTTATCATAACCAACTGTACGATGAATCTGCATTTAAAATATTTGGGGCAAACTTATAATTTTCCGCCTCTTGAAAAGTCAACTTATTTCGTCTACTACATGAATGACTGTCAGTCATTCAGTTGACTTGTGCAACTCCTTTGTTTTTAACTTTATAACAGTAACATGTAGTAACAACGCAAAATATTATCAAGGTTTTATTAGTAGCGATATTAATCAGTAGCGATTTACCGACATTTAAATTTAATATTATCACTGTCGATGGTAATTTTAACCAAGTCATTATTCGATTTTAAATAAATAAAGTATAATAATAATAATATTACTCGTAGATGATGAATGGTTTGTGTCTGTTTAATGAGATGTTTGAATGGGCGATATTTTAGCTGAGTTGAAATGTAGGAGGGAGATTGACTGTTACTTAAAGTAAAAATTGTTACTTGTAAATTAAGGGAAAGTCAATTCTTGTCCTTCCGTGAGATCCGAATTGTGCGATACTAACATCGAAGCGCGAAGCTGCACGCGACAGGCTGCTGCTTCACGCGACGCGACATCGCGCGCTCGTCTGTCGCACTCGTCTCTCTCCTTGAAGCCGATGCCATTGAAGATAAATGTTTAGCTGTATTTAACACTCAGCATCACACAAAATTTCACCTTTAGATCCATAACACAAACCAGCTTAGCCACATACTCTCATTTTATATTAGTCTGTAGGTAAACATATACATATAAGGGTATACTTAAGCATTTTTGAGCTGTTTAAATCGAAACCGTTCCTTATAAGCTATACTAATGTTTCAACAGGGATATCGGAGTTTAATATGGCTCCAAATATAGCATGCTTAACATTTCCTACCACTTTTCTACACTGCTTCATTTCTTGTATAGGCAAAAATGCCATGAATGTGTAAATTGCGCGTTAATATTTTGCATGTAGGTATTGCCGGCACTTCGGCTTTGTATATTAGTGCTAAATTTGGCTATTTTTGATATGTTTTGATCGCACCAAGCCGCGGGCGCAGCCGCCAGCTTCTTCCGTCGGGCGCGGCCGTTGTTGTCTAGTTGCGTAGCGAACTGATTGTTGTCGAGTTATAAAATATTTTTACACCTACGAATTTCACACTACTTTCATTTTAATATTGTGCAATACATTAGGCAGAGTTGATCTATATTTTCTATAAAAAGTTATATCAATAAACTAAATTAAGTAGAGTAGAACATTACGTTTGTTAAAGAAATTAAATATTTTAATTTTTTATGTTCTACTTGGATGTGAACCAGTTCAGTCGAAAGGATGTCGCTCCCTGACCCTCCCCCAACGCAACCCCGATTCTTTGCCACGAACTGTCCCAGCAGTCCGGCCTCCGCTGAGGTCACGGTAGCCCCGTTGTTCTAGTACGTACATAGATATTATTGAAACATAGTCATTGGTGTTAAGCTGGCGACGCGGTGTAGCCACCGGATTATTAGGTTTTGAGATTCTATCGGAGATTGATGATTGGGCGATGATGAGAGAGGATGAGATTTTGAAGAAAACTGATGAATGAAGATATTGGAGAAGGCTCGTGCACGTTGGTTAGTCAGGCGGCTCTGGCGCGCAGCCAGCTCGATTGATGGAATTATTCGTAGCTAGTAACTCATTTAATGGAATCAGTGTGAATCAATAAATGTGGTAGATGAGATTACTTTCAATGTGAATTAAGTAGATAGTCTATCAAATATGACTTTTGAATGATTTACAATGTTAAGTAGATGTTTTAATCGATGGAATCCATAAATTATTCTCTAGTGCAGTTTCTTGATAGGTGTTTTATGTTCATTATTATGTTTTTCTTTTATAATTTATGTTACTTTACTGTATTTTTCTGAGTATGTTATTTTATATTAAATTTCATGTTTGTGTTGCGTTGTAAATAATAATATGTTTGTTTATATAATTATATTACTTATAATAATAAATTATTTTAAGAATAATGTACCCATTTTCCTCCTTTACCGTGCCTTTTACTTGATTATGTGATGTAGTGCGCTGTCCGTCCGTCGGCGGCGCTGGTAGTATCGATGAGTTTGACTGTACCGTTCCTAAATCTTTGTTTATTCAGAATAATAATTATGTAAAGTAAAATCAAGAAACTGTAACATTATTTATAAATCTCGGTGTTTTAGTGACGATCTATGTGTTTCTCAGATACATTACTTATACAGGGTGTTTGGCGCATCGTGTGCCAAAATGATTTGGCGGATAGAATGGGTCATTTCCTATATTTTCAGCCCCCATAACACGTTCCATGTCAGGCGGCTACTTTTATATTAAGTTTTTTAGTAATTTCACCAAAATACCCAAATCGCATCATTTAATTTCGATTTAAAAAAAAAACTACTAAGCGTAGCCTCAAAGTAAATATTTTGTTTTGACGTGCATTGATATAGGGTTGCATCAAATCTAAATTTACTGGCAAATATCATCTAGTTTTTTTTTAATTCAGCTTTGAACTTTTCCGAAAAGTTAAAAATGGACTGAACATTTAAGTTTACATGGCTATAAATTTTTTTTTAAAAGAGATAGCGATCTTCGGATTTTATCAAAACTTCTCTAGTCTATCCCCATTCAAACGGTATACTAATCTTGTTTAAATAATAACAACAACTTCACAAATTCCCTAAATTAGTGCATTGACTCTATTCGGACTGATTTGCGAAATTTGTGTTTATAGCCCCTTTTTGTGTGAATAACACGTTAAATACCTACAGGTAAAAAATATTTATCTTATGCAATGTAAAAAACCTTTTCTCTATCGTTTTTCAATGTGGATTTCTTGAAATTAAAGACGAAAATAATTATTTTGATCGTTTATTAATTATTACAAATTTTGTTCAAAATGTCCGCCTCGGCAACGTATACACTCACGACATCTTCGACTGTTGTCGTATGCAGCCTCATTTCTCTTTTTATTACTATAAAGGCGTTTTCTATTCGTTGTTGTAGTTCTTCTAATGTTTGAACTTCCGTTACGTACACCAGTTCATTACCTCGTCCCCAGACGTAAAAATCTAACGGAGTTAGGTCTGGGGAACGTGCAGGCCACTGTATAGGGCCAGTCTAAATTAGAAGAAGATGTCGTTACTTAGTGTATACGTTGCCGAGGCGGACATTTTGAACAAAATTTGTAATAATTAATAAACGATCAAAATAATTATTTTCGTCTTTAATTTCAAGAAATCCACATTGAAAAACGATAGAGAAAAGGTTTTTTACATTGCATAAGATAAATATTTTTTACCTGTAGGTATTTAACGTGTTATTCACACAAAAAGGGGCTATAAACACAAATTTCGCAAATCAGTCCGAATAGAGTCAATGCACTAATTTAGGGAATTTGTGAAGTTGTTGTTATTATTTAAACAAGATTAGTATACCGTTTGAATGGGGATAGACTAGAGAAGTTTTGATAAAATCCGAAGATCGCTATCTCTTTTAAAAAAACTTTTATAGCCATGTAAACTTAAATGTTCAGTCCATTTTTAACTTTCCGGAAAAGTTCAAAGCTGAATTAAAAAAAAACTAGATGATATTTGCCAGTAAATTTAGATTTGATGCAACCCTATATCAATGCACGTCAAAACAAAATATTTACTTTGAGGCTACGCTTAGTAGTTTTTTTTTAAATCGAAATTAAATGATGCGATTTGGGTATTTTGGTGAAATTACTAAAAAACTTAATATAAAAGTAGCCGCCTGACATGGAACGTGTTATGGGGGCTGAAAATATAGGAAATGACCCATTCTATCCGCCAAATCATTTTGGCACACGATGCGCCAAACACCCTGTATAATATTGTAACAGTATATGTTATTTATCAATTTTAATGCACCTTTAGGCATATACATCAGATCAAAATTATTAAGTTAAGAATTTAGTTGTTAAGAAATTTTACAAATAAAATTTAAAAAGGTCATATTTGTGTTTTATTCCATATTATTTGTGGCTTCTTTTCTATCTTATTAACTAAGTAACTATTTAGTCAACTAAGTGTCGTTTGTTTTAAAAATAATAATAAGCATAACCTGGGTACAGTCGACAGCAAAATTGTCTTTACAGCTGGTGCTCAAAAACTGTAAAATGTATATTTACAAACGGGCAAAATAAAAGGGGATGAATTACCGATGAAATTGATGCTACTAACACTTTATTATAATCTCGTAACAATTAGTCGTTTGAGTCTTTCTCTTATACACTCAAATTATTATGATAATAATCATCGAATGACGAAGGTCGGCGCATGTTTAAAAACATCTGTGTGAAAAACAACAAATTATTTACTTTCCAAACATGGGCTGCGGTGACCGGCGACCTACTGCAGTATCTCGCCGCAGATAAGTCGGTCACCATCCAGGAGACACTTCAGGCCTGATAACCGTTTGAGACCGATCGATTTTTAGGATCGCCCTGAGATAACTTTATCTCACTTATCAAAGCGTTGCAAAACTGTTCAGTTCAAGAATTCTTTCTGCAGTATCACCATAACAGTTCAGGTGCATTGTAAGAAACATTATGTGATTCTGGTGATTTATTTTATTTTTTGTATAAAAATGATTCAGTACTACAAAGTGAAGGTAAGCATGTCAGTATTTTATTTCTACTTATTAAGTTAGCAACAACTCAAAATCTGATAAGTGATAATTAATAGCTGAATAAAATCTTCATAATAAATCTTTTTGTTACCAAATAATCTCAAGTAGCCTTATCTTTTGCCGAGAGGTTTTGTTATTATTGGGGCATGTTTCACTGTTCTCTGATAAAGTCCCTGATATCCTATTAGAAATTTGTCTGCCAGATAAATAGGTCTTACCTTACTTAATGCACGTTGGCGGCGAGCGCGGGCTTAAGCGATCAGCCGGCGTGTAGAGATGGCGATCAGACTTAAATGCATTGATTGCCATCACTGCACGCCAGCTGATCGCGTTTGATCGCGTTGGTTTGGCTGAACCTTTACTGCACGTGGTGCGCTCTTGAGGCTATCGACTTCAGAGGGCTGCGTCGGCGGCGGCGCTACATACCTGAGACTACAATTGGTTAAAAGTAAAACTGTTATTTTCGTTGTTTAGCAATGGATCAAATGGCCGCTGATCCGTGCTCACCTATGCACCCTGGCCGTGAGCGTGGGCTTCAGTTCAACGTGGCGCGCGCCGCGGGAAGCTTTCCGCTTCGGCGGGCTTCAGTTCGCGCTGGCGGCGTCGACGGCGGCGCTGCTTGTGCTCCCGTTGGCGCTGCTGCAGTTGGCCTTGGGGCAGCTCAGCCAGCAGGACGCGGTCGGCATCTGGCGCGCGGTGCCTTTCTTCAAAGGTGATTCAACTTTATCGTACTCAATAATTTATTGTGAAACTATACAGTTTCAGTCAAGTGGTCGCACCGGTGAGAGCCACACGTAAAGCGCGCCATGTCTCGCAGGGGCGTCACAGGGTGTTTTAACCATATAAAATAAGACACATAGATCACAGACACTAAAGGGAGATGTGACAAGGTGGGTGCAGGTGTCGCAGCGCAGCAATATGCCCAAAAACAGAACACATTGCTCGTGACAGCGATGATGACAGCAGCGACGTCATAATGTAAACAGTTTACATTGCTTGTGTAGTGCTACTAATATTATAAAGGTGAAAGTTTATGTGGATGTTTGTTACTCTTTCACGCAAAAACTACTGAACGGATTTTGTTGAAACTTTATAGTATTATTATTTGTAACCCAGATTAACATATCGGCTATAATTTATGCCAATCTGTGGCACTAAATTTCACGCGGGTGAAGCCGCGGGCAAAAGCTAGTACTAAATATTATTCGAACGTTGAGAATTGATACCGCAGTGGATAATGAACACATATTTTGATTACTTTGTGTGTGTGAATTTCTAATGCGACACTGAGTTTCGAACTTAGCGCATTAGTTGGCATTTCTCTATATCTCTATGATAAGACACATCATTATGTTTAAAAGTTCTTCTGTTACGGGGAAATCTCGTTCTTCTATTGTGCAGAGGGTCACAAGTTACAACTCAGGTGTCTTGGTGGTTGATTCTACGGACCACTTCTGCAGTTTTTACTTAGACTCTCTGGTTCGGGAGAGGCAACTATCTTTTGATTACAGAAACATTAATTTGTAATGTATCAAATGTATGGTGGTATTGGTGGTATAGTCTGGTCCGTGAGCACGTAGAATTTTGTCGAATGACCCCAAGCTACCCATCCTTATCGCTCGCGCGTAATTATGTTTGCTATCGCGCTCGCACACTCACTGCGGGTGCCAGTCGCACAGTCGCGACAGCAATATAATTACGCGCGAGCGATAAGGATGGGTAGTTAGGGGTCATTGGACAAAATTATACGTGCTCACGGACCGGGCTTTAGAAATGATGTTTTAAGTCAAGTGCTCTAGGTCGCCGGAGTATATATTTACTGTCTGAAATTCCAGGCGTTGGTTACCTCCGCCTGCTGGTGTCGGCGCTGGGCTGCGTGAGCTCGGCGGTGTACCTGGCGCTCACCGTCGCCTACTTCCTCTACACGCTCAGCAACTCCATCCCCTTCCGCGCCTGCTCCGACCCTCGCCTGAACGAGGTTGGTAACCTTTGCCTGAATATAAATTTGTGTAAAGCATTATCATTTGACAGTTCATAACGTACGATTATTCTGTCAAACGCTTTGTATAACTGACTTTATCGTACGTTATGAACTGTCAAATGATTACAATTGCTTTACACAATTCCACCTCAGACAAAGAAGGAATCGAAAAAGAGTTCTCCCCCCTAATCAGACTCCCGTCCAGAATCAGACCCCTTCCAGAAGGGGTCTCCTCTCCGATCTGATCCAGATCAGATTCCTCTCTGAATCAAACTGCGCTCCGATCATACTCCCTGGTTCAGATTAGCCCCCCAGATCAGACTCGGACTATCTCTTTTAGATAAGACACCCCCTGAATCAAACTACGTCTCCTAAATCAGGCTACGACTTAGTCTGATTCAGATACATGAGTATCAGACTTCTCGTAGATCAGTCTCCCCCTAAATCAAACTCTTAAGCAGTAACCGTTAAGCGCAAGTAGTAGCCGCAGTAAAAGCTTACAATTTTAGAAGATTCTTGTAGATTTAAAAATGTATTACTTACTTGTTTAGTAAGTAATTTTTTTCTTCTTTTACAGGATGGCTTCGAAGATATTATAAACACGACCAATTGTTTAAAGTAAGTTTTAAAATATTAGAAATCCTACTTTATTCATATTTTAATACTCCATTATAAACTTAAATACAATTTACAGCGCAACGTTCCTGGCTCCAGTGCGACAAAAGCCTGAATATTTCATTGCTATGTCATTGATTATTTGTTTCATATGGATAGCATTGCCTTTTCTGTAAGTATCACTTTGTGTGTCTTTTTTATCTTCATAATCAATTATTATGAATAATATTTTAATCTCGAAAATTACCTTATAATGACAGCCCGTTTTAGTGCTCACTATTTAGTGTTATAAGGTAATTGGCGCTAAATAGCGCCAATGTAGAGTAAGATCGCTGTCACTTGCTTGTGGCGAAGATAGTGGCGCCAACTGATGATCGCTGAAGCGGTAGGAGGACGATCGCATCGCATTTGCATTCCCAAGGTTGGCGCCACCTTAGAGTAGAATAGTCAGTGGTGCTAATATTACCCATACTTTCTATTCGTGGTTGTTTACGTTAGCCATTTGTTCGTACAGCCTTTACAGTCCAGTGAAGTTGATGAAGCGTGTCTTCTATATCCTGGGCCCGACGCTCGTAGTCTTGGGCGTCGTGGTGGTATCCGGCATCGGGTCGTGGGGCCGCCTCACGTGGTTCCACGAGGCGCGGCATTGGCGGCACTTCTTGGAGCCTCGCGTTTGGATCAGCGCGTTAACGCAGGCGTTGTTGGCGACCCATACGGCCGGCGGTTACTTGGTCTCGGCTGGAGACGCTATCTACAGCGTCACTAATGTGCAGTGGTTAGTATAATTCTTATAATTAGGCTTGTGGAGTTAACAGTTATACGTTAAGTCGATCCTCTGATCACTGATGCTAATGTGATAATTATTAATTATTTTAATCAAAAAGCTTATTTGTAGTTTAAAAGGCATTTTTTAAGACCTGAATAAGGATTAGTAAATTCGCAAACAAATAGCTGCAATTTTAATAACTAAATAGTTTGTCTACTATCGTCCATGGAAAAAGAAAATGTGTAGACTTAGGCCTAGTGAATTTAACTGTTAACTTAAAACCACCTCAAATTCTTGCAGCGATGTAAGGTAACAATAATGTCGTTGTTCCCTTTATGTTCATCATTTCTATCCCATGATAGGAGCCATTCTAATTTCAATGCGGCCTACATTTTCCTTTTGCATTTAAGTCAAGTGCCCACCTTTTTCTTTAATTCCAGGACAGCTATAGCCTTCGTGGCCACCAACATCGTAGCGGGCTGGCTTGGGCCGCTGTTCTGGTTCGCGCTGGGCGCCGCTGAGCCCGACACAGGCGCGGCCGCCGTGCTCGAGCAGGCCTACCGAGCCGCCTACGAGCGCGACCTTAGCATCGCGTGGCCGTTGCTCGTGTTTGCCGCGCTGTTCCTGTCAGGCATTATTACCATGGTGTGTAGCTGCTTCGTAAATTATTAGAAGACTGTGTTTGGTTTGCGGGCGCTAATGTGACGGACTTAAGTCACTGTTCTGGTTAGCCGCAGACGAATGTTTAGGGCAATAACTCTCGTTTTCGTTTGATTACTTTGATTTGCCCCCGAGGACACCGTCGGGTTTTAGTAGGTATCTAGGCCCCGCCCCTTCTTGTCCCACATCATAACACACTAGCTGTCCCCATCAGCCAGTGGGTACCTACGCGCAAAGCATTTCCCGGCGAAAAAAGGGTCAATATTCAGGTTCGCGCTTAGTGGCACATTAAAATCGATTTTTAATGCTAAAATCAATACTTGTCAAATCTGTCGTCAATTCCAGCTAACATTCCTGTACCCGATCTACGACCGCGTCCGGCGTTCCGGCGGCGCGCGGTGGCGCGTGGCGTGCGCCGGCGGCTCGGCGATAGGAGCGGCGGGCACGCTGGCGGCACTGGCCGGCCGCTGGGACGCGCTGGCCTTGATCGAGGATACCGCTGTGCCACTGTTGGTTTGCCTCGCTACTGTACTGGAGGTCCTCGCCTTCGTCTTCATCTACGGTAAGTAGCTACAATAAGGGCTGTCGTTGTAGCGCTCACCAGTTGGCGCCACTGTAAAGGTCCGGTGGCTCGCTGGCGGCACTGGCCGGCCGCTGGGACGCGCTGGCCTTGATCGAGGATACCGCTGTGCCACTGTTGGTTTGCCTCGCTACTGTGCTGGAGGTCCTCGCCTTCGTCTTCATCTACGGTAAGTGGCTACAATAATGGCTGTCGTTGTAGCGCTCACCAGTAGGCGCCACTGTGGCGGTTATCACACTGCGCCGCGCTCCGCCGCGGAGCGCGGGACGACAGATTTAATCATTATATGCAAGTACCTACTTCAGTTTGTATAGAAAACACGCGCGGCACAACACACTGACAACGCGTCCGCGCGCGGGTTTTTCTATATGAAATCACGCGCTCCGCGGCGGAGCGCGGCGCAGTGTGATAACCGCCTTAAGGTCCGGTGGCTCGGTGGCGGCGCTGGCCGGCTGCCTTCTTCTACATCGGTAAGTGGCCAAAATCCTGAACTTCGTTCTTTTTAAACTCAATCAGGTGAATTCGAGCTACACCCGGAAACATCTGGTTAAAAATATTAACTGTTCACTTGCATCCCTCTATGCAGCAGGTATGCGTAACGTATTTCCTCCGAAAAACTTAAGGTGTCATGGCAGTGCGCACTAGTTTCAATGACCCTAGATTAGCAACACAATAGTTTGTCTAAGGCAGGTTAACGTTCGCATCTAACTGAACGGTATGACTGTCGCGAACACATCCCGTTTGTCACCTTGGCCTTATTTTAGAGAAATGCGTTAAGAGGCCAAATAAAAAGAAACTGGAATTACCTTTCAAGTTTCACAACTTTTTTGCCATGGAACTATAGGATTATATCGAATGAATTCTAAAAATTAACTTTGAGCTGCTCGTCTATTTGGAAGTTCTAAAGGTTTCAAAGAAGCCTCTAATTTCCTAAATAATGTGATTACCCTTGAGCAAATCCTTGAAAAAGAATGTAATGAGTGAAATACCCAATTGGCTGTAACTCCTAATAAATTGTATTTTCCATTTCCGCAGGTTGGAAAGCCCTGATGGAAGACGTCGAGTTCTTAACCGGACGAGCATTATCAAAGTTCTGGATGCTGGGCTGGTGTACAGTCCCTGGCGTGGTCGCGCCGCTGTTGCTTTGGTGGCTGGTGGTGGCGTTAACTGACGGTGGCTGGGCGGCGCCGCCCTGGGCTGCCAGTGGCGCGGTGGCTACCGGCGCGGTGGCCGTCTTAGTGGTGCTGGCGCTGGCGGCCGTGACCGTGGCTCGCCAGGTCCAGTACGACGTTATTGGGGTGAGGATGATTATTAGGGTATAGTTCAAAGTAGTTGTGTTGCGCGGTTGTAAGTAAGAATGAGATAAAATTTACCCAATATTACTAGAAAGGAAGTAGTACCTAGTCTTCTCTTAAAAAAATCAGCTTATCAATCTACGAGTATCTTAAACTAAAAGTTTTGTCAAGCTGCTAGAACTTCATAAAGGTGCATAATTATATTATAGCGTGTTCACGTCGCTACTAGCCAAAGCCAAACATTTGGTACTATTCTCTTTATGTAGATCAACATCGATATTAATATTTATGCTAATGGTAGCTCTAATGTATGTGCGATCTGCTTGTGATGCAAAGCGAGCGCTAAGGGCCTCATGCAAATGTGTCAAGCTCCGCTTCCTATGTGATTTCCTCTGCTCTGCGAAATAACATAGCACTTTTCCTCGACTGACATCTGCTACTATTAAGGACGGGGCCTTGCCTAGTCTAACCGTAACATGCACGCGTTGTGAATTTAATATTGGGTTTCCTGTAATTTGTCTCGGAAGGAACGAGTGTAGAATGCGTTAATCCGCAGAAGCTGAAGTCGGCGTTTCGGCCGTCGCGGCACTGGGGCCCGCGGGACCCCGTGGCGCACTACTACTGGCTGGCGCGGCGCGAGGACCCGGCGGGGTCGGCGGGCGAATCCGGCGTGCGCGCGCGCCGTTTCCGGCGGCGGCAGGCGGGACAGCTCTCCGGCGCGCGCGGCTCCCTCGACGTCCCCGCCGCCGCGCCCGCCGGCATCGACGTCAACAGCAACGAACTCAAAAGACGCTCCAACTCCGACGATTGGATCTACACCGTGTACAGAAGAAAATACCTCGAAACAGCGTTCTCCCATTACTTAGCTAAGGGCAGAAAGTTCCGGTCGCTGTCGGTGGACTGGGCCCAAATGCCGCGGCAACACAAAGATTCTATGGACTTGAAAATATTGAACAGTAGTGTTTACATGACGCCGGCTGAGTCTATAGAGATCGTCAAGGAAGTTACTAATTAATAAGTAGGTAGTAATTTATTTTATCATAATTATAGAAATGCAGTTTGTTATTTGTTGAAGAATAAATGGTTGTTTCTTTCGTTATATCATTATTTTCCGATGTTTCAAAGAAAATTAACTTCAAAGTAGAAACGTCGTCCGTCAGACAGGATCCCATTTGGGAATTGGAATTGCCGTTGATACTTCCGTTGATGCTTCGCGCTCCATGGGTTTTATTTTTCTTGTGTTATTGTTCGCTACTGAGCTGTGTCAACTACGACGTATCTAATAGTTGTATGATTTTAAAATTGCGACATTAACATGTAAGTACATACACAAACTTGTTTTCTTGACGGAAGTGGGCAAGGTTTTTTGATAATATCACCAAAATTTAGGATATACCTACTCGTTAGATCGTCAGTAGGTAGGTAATATTGTCAACGACTAGGAAGTGAGCCGGCCGACGTGACATTTGTTCTTGTTTGCCGACCTTCCTTAGGAAAATGACGTCCCTTATACGGCAGGTCCATTGTGGCGAGATGCACCATAAGTATTCGGCGCACAGCCGCGTGGCGTCACTGATAGGATGCGGTGAAAAATAATCACTCATCAAATAATGAATTATCCATGCTTAGAAAAGCTTGCTGTCTACTCGAAGCGAAGAGATGGGTGTAAATGTATATGCACCCAGTAGCTACGAATAGCGACCAAGTGACCGCTCTACCGCTCGCAACAGTGAGTTGTCAAGTCACAAGTAGTGTCAGTGATCATAAAAGGGCGACAGCTGCGATGCCAAACTGTTTGCGTATCTCATCTGTCTCATCTTCATTGGTTGGGTTTTTATCTTTGTTGTTGGCGGTCAAGCTGTAGATCCTGGCTGCACAGGAGTTGCAATGGTGGGAACGAGAGGTGGGAATAATCCCGTATCTCATCTGTAACATAACTAGCGTTAGGATATAAAACGCCTTGATAAGGCTCCTCCTGCTCGATGGACTGATGAAAAACATATTATTTAGTAAAATGCGGGAGATTATGTTTAATAGCGCTCCTTGACGTTAATCCAGCAGTGAAAATTAAAGCCATTTGTTGAAAATTAAAGTCGAGACAGTTCGACGTTCTGTAATTCACTTGCGTAGGGTTGGACAAAAAGCGATCACTTTTTGTGTTCTATCAGCTGAGCAACCTTCATGTCGGCAGCAGCGTGACTCAAGCGAAGATCTGCTGACATCCGAAGGGCGCTCACGATTCGATAATGCCGTGCTCTCCCTACTGAGCAGGGCACTTGGCATTACTAAGTCAATAATTTCCGCACTGCATCCAATTTAGCAATCACTCCACATAATTATAAATAACTAAGTACATTCATTTATTACTGTTGTAACTAAAAACTTTAATAGGAATCTTGATGTTTATGAATGGTTTGTTATACTGATGGATATTATTAGTCTTTGATTGGTATGGTAACTTAAAGGTAGTGTTCAAAGTTACCTTACCTACCTACTGACTTACTCAAAGTATCGCAAATCTCTGGGTGTATAGCCCAACGTTTTTGACGAAGAGGTCTGTTTAATTTTTATTGTTTCATTGTTCCTTGTAGGTACGAACAATATATTACACAATTTATTGTTGATGAATGAAGTAGCTACCTAGGTACTTGTAACCAATACTTTGTAATAATCATTATTATTGGTTGCTGCACCATTGTGCTCTAATTTCTTATTCTTGCTTAAAAATATAGAGTGTATAGTTAGTTATAGTTCTCTCGTAATGTGCATGTAAACATACAAACACAAGTAAAGTTCATTTGCCTTCGTGAAATGTAAGTAATTTACAAAATATCGGAACCTTCTTGGTTGGTCTTTACTTACAGTCAATCGTCACAAAGTTGGGTAATTTCGTTGCCGTATAATTAAGACTTCTGTTGACAATATCGTCCTCGCAGCAGTGCTGGTAGCTGGCTTGTGTTAACTCGTTCGCAACCAACTTCCGCGGTTTCGCTCGGCGTGAACAGGTTTAGCGCGACCGGCTGGCGAGCCACGCGGTCTCATCGGTCGGGCGGAGATCTTCCGCGGATTTCAACAACCGCAAAAACTAACTTCCGGATAAAAACTATCTTACACCTTGACTGTCTATTGCTATTTATAAGTCATTGAAACCGATATCGGGTAATTTGTATAAATCCTCCGCGTCAGCCTTGTCTTGGAACTTGCTTTGTTGTTCGTACTTGATTGCTCAGCGACCCGAAGTGAATTTTGGCCTTCGGTCAAAATGTGCCGTTATTATCCGTATGCAAGCTATCGTCTATACAAATATTATAAATATTATCGTGAGTTTCAAAGTCACATCTCTCCTCCTCTCCTGGAGCTATCCTCATTATTATTTTTTTCAGCAGAGTCTATAATATCTGTCATAGACTTTCAACAGAAAGTTTAAACGTGTTTTAACTAAGCAAAGTAATATTAATTGTAACTTAATTTTAAATTATTTGATTTCCCGAACACTTTTACTTTTCATAAAGGCCCACACCTATTCCCATTTTCAAGATCACCCAGATCACTAGTCTCGATGAGCATGATTGATGCCATCGTCGTTCACCGTCTCCCCGATCTGTGCCTAACGGGCCACTTTGCCCGCACTTACCTACTTTTTACACTAGCCACTAGCTCAAGTCGACCGACCTTATTGAAACAGCGTTATTTTAGTCATTCCACTGGACGGTAAAGATATCAATAGTGACGATGTCGATAAATCTTTACAAAGTAATAAAAATACTGTGTACTTGGCTCTATTTGATAGGAATAGCTGAAACCTCATGATTTTCATGTTTTATTTTGAAACTTAATATTTTAACCACCGATTTTATTAAGGAAACCTTAAAAAATGCACACCCCATCGTGCAGGCAAACTATTAGTAAGCCTAGTTTATTTTTACATGAAACTACAAGATAAGTACTTGCCAGTATTGGTATTCGCTCATGAGATTTTTTTTACCTGCCTTAAAAATGGATGCTCAAAAGTAGACTCTTTTATTTTTAGTTCCGTGCCATATGCTGCGGATCCGTTTAGATTAATTCATCTATGAAAGAAAATCCTAAGGAAACTCTTATAACAAAAAAGTAGAGAGAGGGTGTCTTTATTGTAGAGTGCGATTTTATAAGTGGAAATATTGTGGTGTAAGTTATGGTGATGGGAAATTGCTAGAAAAATATATTGTAAGTGCATCTGTTTACAAATCTTATGCATTTCTGCAGGATTTAAAGACATTGATGTAGGGAAGTAGACTGACGTATTGGCCCAAGTACGTGTATATTGTATATGCAAATTGGCCACTTGTGGAAGACTGAAGCGGAGTACATGAACGCCTCTAATGCGCGTAGCGTGGCGGTAAGTGCTTCAGTTTACTTACGCAATTATCTGATATCGACTGAGCTCAATAACAAGTACCTACACAGTTAAACAAACAACGCTTTTGCTAAGAAAACAATTCTTCATAGCTGACACATTAACAGCGTTAATCTAATATTCATGGAAATCAAAATCTGTCTTAAAATAATCGTAAATTTTCATAAATATGTAGGTACTTACACTCGTATTTAAAGTGCTTATTATGTTTTGTCACGGTAGTTTTGTTATATTTTTTGGTGGTCCCAAGAAATGTAGATACGTCTGTAATTCACGAAAATCACCTCGTGACAGGAAGTTAAACAATATAGTCGTGTATTTTATTAAAAGTTAAAGTATTTTATAGTTTATCTAAAGAAAAGACATTAGGCACGGTTGATACTTTGATAGAGTCAGCCTTAAGGTATTTTTCATAGTGACCGGATAACACATTGTTGCATCTGCTCATACATTCATATAGGTAACACCAATAGGTAATGTAAGTATATTTTTAGAACAGTTATGTAAGTTTATTTATGAGGTCCTTGTGATTGGTAATGGTTTTATTTATATCCTCTTGTAAATATCATCGTATTCTTGCTAACGACCGGTTAACCACGTTATTATTTTCCTTTAAATACTTACCTTATTACGTAGGCAGCCATTAAGGAAGGTAGGTACTCAAAAGATAGGATTTCAAGTATCTTTCTAGACGACATCCTCGCTTAGGTTCCAAAAGTACAGAAAATGTATTTTAATAACTATTGCGTCAAATACTTGAAACAAGAGCAACAAAACTATAACACTGAAAGCATAGGTAGAGTCGGTTTTAAAATTTAATAATATTTACCCATTAACTTCTGGCTCGCATCATTTGGTATTTTGTTTGAGCACATAGAGCTACATTTTTACCTATTGTTAGCGAATTACTTACATATTTCGAAAATTGAACTTCGTATGCAAATTGCATACCTACCTAAGCGTCTAATCGTATCTAAGTTCCAATAAAAGCTTCTTCTTAAGGGCTGTCGAAAATTCCACACTTTTAGCTGATCCTTCAATCAAGAAAATTATGTAGGCACCGGCACAAACTTTACAAGCCAAGTTTTTCCAGCCGGTTTGTTGGCAAACTTAAGATGTTTCGCAATGCCGCAACTAATCTGGTAAGAGCAGCTGGATAATCCCTTATACGCCGGGAAGCGTTGCAGTCGCTAGTGCGAAAAAGGTGGTGGAATGCGCGTAAGGGCTGCGTCACCGGCGCAGGCTGTGGACGGCGCGCGCGCGCTCGCGCATTCGTGTCCGAAACATCGCGCGAAGCGGATCGCCCTGCGGTAGCGGTCGTGCGAGTGTTGCGTGCGCGTGCCTGATACCCGTGATGTCGAAGGACAGCTCTCGGTTCAGCAGGCTGGGCGTGCTGGCCCCGGCGGCGCTGTCGGCCTGCATGGACGCATCCGTGCTCGCCGTGCCCGCCGCCGGCGCCATCGTCTCCACAGTCCTCAAGGAGCTCAGCAAAGCTTTCATGCTTAAAAAGTGAGTACTCAATCAATGTTGCTAATTAAATTATGTACCTGCTGTTAAGTCGAACGCAGTAAGTAGGCAGGTCGTTAATTCAATTTAATACGCGACTGGAACCAAGATTATTAATTGACCATGTTTATTTATTTATTGGAGATACCAACAATTTATATAATAAAAAAAATACCTACCTACCTACAGAGTGTGGT